CCTTATATGTGTATAGCAAAAACTTAAAATCTTCTTTGAAAAAACCCAAATAGCTAGAGTTTAGATATTAAGCATGAGACATATTCTAGTAAGTGTCTACAAAGTTTGTTCAAATAAAAACCCTGGGGTTATAACTGGCCCGGCCCCAGGGGTGTCATTGTTTTTAACTATATGTGTATAGTAAAAACTTTAAAAAAATCTTCTTTTAAATAGCCCAATGAGCTAGAGCTTAGCTAAGCATGAAACATCTTCTTATGGGTGTCTACCAAGTTTGTGCAAATAAAAGCCCTTTGGTTAAATTGGCCCCTGCAACGTTTGGGGGGGGGGGGGGTTGTTGGGGGGGCCTATATACAGGTGAGCGACCTCAGGGCCATCATGGCCCTCTTGTTCTTTTAAGTATGTGAAAATCAAAAATTTGACCTTGGATTACTTTGAATGTGACCCAGTGACCTACTTCTGCATTGTAATCCCAGTGATGGTCTCAGATGAGCGATCCAGCCTTTTATGTCAGTAAATAACATATAACTATAATAATTGTTGTTTGTTATATAATATTATAATGTAATTATAAATGTGTTAGATCATTTATTTGCATGACATATAGAAAGGATAATGATAGTTTTAAATCATTATTATACCCCCAAAAACGAAGTTTGGGGGGGTATATAGGAGTCACCCGGTGGTCGGTCGGTCGGTTGGTCGGTCGGGCGGTCGGTCGGTCGGTCGGTCGGTCGGTCCAGACGTCCGTTGCATTTTCCTTGTCCGGAGCATAACTTGAAGACTAATGCTTGGAATTCAATATAACTACACACAATGGTCAAGCACATTGAGAGGAAGTGCAGTGCACAAGAACCATAACTCTATCTTGACTTATTACAGAGTTATTGCCCTTTGTTACTTTTCCTTGTCCGGGGCATAACTTGAAAACTACTGGTTGGAATTCAAAATAACCTCATACAATTGTCAAACACAATAAGGGGAAGTGCAGTGCACAAGAACCATAACTCTATCTAAAGTAATTACAGAGTTATTGCCCTTTGTTACTTTTCCATTGCTTTTTTTTGTCCGGACCATAACTTGAAGACTAATAGTTGGAATTCAATATAACTACATACAATGGTCAAGCACATTGAGAGGAAGTGCAGTGCACAAGAACCATAACTCCATCTTGATTAATTACAGAGTTATTGCCTTTGTTACTTTTCCTTGTCCGGGGCATAACTTGAAAACTACTGGTTGGAATTCAAAATAACTTCATACAATTGTCAAACACAATAAGGGGAAGTGCAGTGCACAAGAACCATAACTCCATATTGACTAATTACAGAGTTTATTGCCCTTTGTTACTTTCCATTGCTTTTTTTGTCGGGATCACATAACTTGAAGACTAATGGATGGAATTCAATATTACTTTTATACAATGTTCAAAGCACATTGAGAGGAAGTGCAGTGCACAAGAACCATAACTCCATCTTGACTAATTACAGAGTTACTGCCGCCCTTTGTTAATTTTCCTTGTCCAGAGCATGACTTGAAAACTACTGGTTGGAATTCAAAAACAACTTCATACAATGGTCAAGCACAATAAGGGGAAGTGCAGTGGCACAAGAACCATAACTCCATCTTGACTAATTACAGAGTTATGCCCCTTTGTTACTTTTCCATTGCTTTTTTTGTCCCGGAGGCATAACTTGAAGACTTTATGGTTGGAATTCATTATAACTTCATACAATGGTCAGCACATTTGAGAGGAAGTGCAGTGCACAAGAACCATAACTCCATCTTGACTAATTACAGAGTTATTGCCCTTTGTTTACTTTTTCCTTGTCCAGAGCATAACTTGAAACTACTGTTTGGAATTCAGTACAACTTCATACAGTTGTCAAGGACATTAAAAGGAAGTTACCAATGCACAAGAGCCATAACTCCATTTTGACAAAATACAGAGTTACTGCCCTTCGATACTTTTCCTTGTCCTGAGCATAACTTAATACATACTGGTTGGAATTCAAACAACTTCATAATCAATGTTCAAGCACAATAAGAGGAAGTGCAGTGCACAAAGAAACTATAACTCTTCTCAGTTTTTAAATAGAGTTTTTGCCCTTTGTTCCTTTTCTTTGTCTTTCTGGACTTATTACAGAGTAATTCAATTAAACTTCATCAATGGCCAACCACATTGAAAGGATATGCAACATAGAAGAACCACAACTATCTTTAATTGCTAACAACCATAACTCTATATTTCAATTCTTTTACAAGGTATTCTGTTACTAGTAACATCCTCATTTCCAAAGCAGTCTTGTGGGGGTATTAATCACATTTAGTGATAGTTCTAGTTTAAGTATAGACGTTTTCTGATCGGTGACCTTGATCATAATGTTGGGTTTCAAGTTACATAAAATTAGGATTCAATTGTTCTTATTTGTGGCCAGTTATACTTGATCTTCTCCCTTGGTGATTTTGCATCAACTTTGTACTACTTAATTGTTTTTATGATCCAACTTTATTATGTTCAATTTGGGCAAAACCATTAACCATTTCAAGAGAAAATTTCAAAATACACTGTATGTACTAACTTAATAGTGAACAGTGTACTAATTTTTTTAGATTTAATTTTTCCAGTACAGCTTATCCTGATGATAAAAGCCTGCTCTCTATTGGTTACTTTTATTACCAATAAGGTCAATAAGTTAAAGGTCAAGGTCATTATATTCTAAAATATGAGATGCTAGTTAAGTAGCCAATTTGGGCAGAAGAAAATTCCAGCTAAATGTTTCATATGGGGATAATTGTTAGGCAACTTTAAGGTTTGATGTCACACAACTTAAACTACCAAACTGAAAAGGTAAAAGGTCAAGTTTTTTAATATTTGTGAATTTTTTAATGGGAAATTACTAATATATGCAGGGAAAATATTCATGTACATGAAATTTAAAAAAAGGGAAAGCATTTCACTTTTTAAAAAAAACAGGGGAAAATGTGTTAAAATTTTTAAAAAAATTTGGGAAATTTTTTTAAAAATTTTTTAAAATTTAAAAATTTTAAAAATTTAAATTTTTTGGATTTTCCCCGAGACGAAGGTTTTATCTTGCCCTATAACATTTGTCCCAAGATTGTAGAATGCTTTACTTATCCTGCTAGATCTTGCAGTCATAAAAACAAAGAGACAAAAATGTACTTTCTCAAATTTAAAGCGAATCTAGAATTAAATAAGGACTTTTCATCAATAAGTTGGTAAATGTATATAGTATAAGAACATTGGAAGTAATGTGTATTTATCCATGATGTTTTAAAGTTGTGGGAAAAAAAGAAGATAAAATCTTGTATAAAAGAATAATTATGTACTTTGTAAGGCTTCATAGATATATGACCCCATGAGCTTGTACTTTATAAATACCCTTGTTTATAAAATCTGTATTTTATGCTATAAACAGGCTTTAATTGAAAGACTGAGTTGTAAATGAATCTGAAATTAACATTACTTAAGCTGTCAACCCTAATAGTTATAACTTAGTGTAGCAAAATAAATGACTTAGTTAATGTTTGAATACTTCATGCCATTTAAAACTAGTAATGGCAAACAAGGTGTTTTGTGAATGTTTGCATACTTTATTATACAGGGTGCCAGTTAAGGTTAGTAATGGCAAACAATATGTATACTTCATACAAGGCCTCAGTTAAGAGAATTATTGGTGGATTGATCGCCAAGAATATGACAAAAAAATGTGACCAAAACTATGTTAAATCAGTTTAGAAAAAAGAAGAAAAACAAGAGAGAAAAAAAAACTAACAAACAATAAAAAGTAGTTGTAGCAAGGCATCAAGTCTGAGGGGAGCTAGACTGAGGGGATTAACTCAACTGAGGAGATCAGCTAGACTGAGGGGATTAACTCAACTGAGGAGATTAGCTAGACTGAGGGAATTAACTATACTGAGGGGATTAGCTTAACTGAGGAAATTAGCTACACTGAGGGAAATAGCTTAACTGAGGGAATTAGCTAAACTTTTGTGAGGGGATCAGCTAAACTGAGGGGATTATCTCAACTGAGGAGATTAGCTGAACTGAGGGGATTTAAGCTGGTAATGTTACATCATAAGTTGATGCTTTGCTACAAATTTTTGTATTAACTGATATATTGTAACCAATAGCTAAATGGTAAACTGTCTTGATACCAGTGATTTTTTTTCCAATTTTCAAAACAGCCTGTGGCTTTATGAAGGGGAAAATACATGTATAGCGCTATAAATCACAAAAGGGGGGAAACCTTAAAAAACAAATTCCAACAACTGAAAATGGAATTTACCCACACATTTTATGAAATAAATAAAATTTCAATTCAATTTAACATGGTACATAGCAGAGACTATTTATAGAGACAAATTTCTGTCTTCTAGATGCTGTTAAGTCATGGTTCTGGTAAGGAAGAGCACGAGGCATTTTAGGGGAAATTTAAGCATTTTGAGGGGAAAATATACCTACTTTGGGCTAGGGGAAACAGCTTTTATTTGGCTGTAAAATACAGTGAAAAAAATCACTGGTTACTTACAAAGAAATAAGTGTATTTAGCTTCTCACAGCATAAGCTATTGGAATAAGATATTAAATTTAATTCACTTAGTTGTAACTAAAGAGCAGACAACCTCAGCATGTAAGTCCTGAATCATAATGTCAATTTCAGTTTCATGATTATAACCAGTATAAATATAATCTCAGTAAAGATTTGCTAGAAAAAAAGCCTTTTTTATTTATTCAGTGAGCCAAAAAGTATTCTGATCTAATGATATTGTCATAAAAATGAAATTCAACACTCTTGCATTGCTAGGATCTGATTGGATAATGTTTTTCCACAGGTACTGTACATTTGTAAACTGGGTTTCTGTAACTTTGAAGCATTACACAATTAATATTTATTAAAAGTGTTACCAAGACTGTAAGCAGTCTTGCTTATTTTTGAAATTTTAAACTTTATAATATACCTCAAGGCCATCTATATTTAGAACACAGACGCATCATTATTGCCAACAGTTGGTTGGCCTGCATTTGTATCCATGAAGAACCAATTAGGTCAAGGGTACAATTGACAAGGTCAAACGTAAAACTGAGAGGGCCAAGGGGCTTCAAAGAGGTTTCATCAGAGATGGTTTTAAAAGACTGTTGTAGAAGATTCACAAGAGAAAGTAAACTATAAAACCCAGCAGAATTAAAGTAAGTATTTCATCCATGTATAACCACTTGCCCCTCACCGCTGAAGGTTTGAATCCCGACAGGGACTTTGGATTCTTTCATGTGAGGAAGCTATGATCAGCTAGCTTACGGAACGTGGGTGGTTTTACTCAGGTGCCCATTCGTGCCTGAAATAATGCAGGGAAGGGCAACTGAGGTCTTCCTCCACCAGTAAAGCTTGAACATCGCCATATGACCTTTAATGTGTTGGTGTGACGTAAAACCAACAAATCATCCATGTATATTTTTAGGTTACAACCATTCTTCAAAATAAAGTCATTTAATGGCCAATTTTCTGGTTTTGGTTAATATATCTCTTTGGAGAAAGGACATAATTATGATGTGAAAAGTGAATGTCATATGTGTCAACATTAATGATGCTATATAGGACCCAAATGCTTCTTTTTAAAAGTAAAATGTATTTGAGGGCCACAAGCAAGGCAAGTTGAATAGTATACCAAAACTATGTAAATCATAAACCATTTTAATCAACAAACTATGTGTTTTTAGTTTTTACCAGACTATGGTCCATCACAAACTTTAATGTTTAATTCACAAATTTTTGTTTATTTAAGAAATATTTGTTAATCACAAACTTATTTAATGTCACAAACTTATGCGTAAAAGGTTAGCTTTGGACAGCTTCCTGACCTCATTAGGAAGATTCAAACCGCCAATAGTAAAGAGCTAGTGATTCTGAGGAGCTGGTATAACTAACTAAGCTTTTTCATTTTGGGGTTTCCTTAATGTAATTGGGGAATAGTACTGTTGAATTTTTTAGCTCACCTGTCACAAAGTGACAATGTGAGCTTTTGGTGATTGCTTTTTCGTCCGGCGTCCGTGCGTACCGTCCCGTCGTCCGTCCGTAAACTTTTGCTTTAAAATGACATCTCCTCATAAAACCACTGGAGCCAATTTCATCCAAACTTCACAGGATGTTCCTTTGGTGGTCACCTTTAAAAAATTGTTCAAAGAATTTAATTCCATGCAGAACTCTGGTTGCCATGGCAACCAAAAGAAAAACTTTAAATATCTTCTTTTTAAAAACCATAAGAGCTAGAGCTTAGATATTTGGCACGAAACATCTTCTAGTGAGTGTCTACCAAGTTTGTTCAAAATTAAAAGCCCTGGGGTCAAAATTGGGCCCCGCCCGGGGGGGGGGGGGGTCATTGATTTTCCCTATATGCATATAGTAAAAACTTAAAAAATCTTTTTTAAAGAATCGTAAGAGCTAGAGCTTAGATATTTGGCATGAAACATCTTCTAGTGAATGTCTACCAAGTTGTTCAAATAAAAACCCTGGGGTCAAAACTGCCCTTGCCCCAGGGGGTCATTGATTTTCCCTAAATGCATATAGTAAAAACTTAAAAATCTTCTTTTAAAGAACCCAAAGAGCTAGAGCTAAGATATTAAGCATGAAACATCTTCTACTGAGTGTCTACCAAGTTTGTTTAAATTAAAGCCCTGGGGTCAAAATTGGCCCCGCCCCGGGGGTCATTGATTTTCCCTATATGCATATAGTAAAAACTTAAAAAATCTTCTTTTAAAGAACCATAAGAGCTAGAGCTTAGATATTAGGCATGAAACATCTTCTAGTGAATGTCTACCAAGTTTGTTCAAATAAAAGCCCTGGGGTCAAAATTGACCCCACCCCAGGGGGTCATAGATTTTCCCTAAATGCATATAGTAAAAACTTAAAAAATCTTCTTTTAAAGAACCCAAAGAGCTAGAGCTAAGATATTTAGCATGAAACATCTTCTAATGAGTGTCTACCAAGTTTGTTCAAATGAAAGCCCTGGGGTCAAAATTGGCCCCGGGCCCCCAGGGGGTCATTGATTTTCCCTATATGCATATAGTAAAAACTTAAAAATCTTCTTTTAAAGAACTCAAAGAGCTAGAGCTAAGATATTTTAGCATGAAAAGCATGTTCTAATGGGTGTCTACCAAGTATGTTCAAATAAAAGCCCTGGGGTCAAAACTGGCCCCGCCTGGGGGGGGGGGGGTCATTGATTTTCCTTATATGTGTATAGCAAAAACTTAAAAATCTTCTTTGGAAAACTTTGGAAAAACCCAAATAGCTAGAGTTTAGATATTAAGCATGAAACATCTTTAAGTAAATATCTACAAAGTTTGTTAAAATAAACGCCCGGGGGTCAAAACTGGCCCTGCCCCAGGGGTGTCATTGTTTTTAACTATATGTGTATAGTAAAAACTTTAAAAATCTTCTTTTAAAAAAGCCAATGAGCTAGAACTTAGATGTTTAGCATGAAACATCTTCTTATGGGTGTCTACCAAGTCTGCTCAAATAAACAAACTTGGGTATAAATTGGCCCGGGGGTGGGGGGGGCCTATATACAGGTGAGCGACCTCAGGGCCATCATGGCCCTCTTGTTATTTATACTTTGTCCAGAGGATCAGACACAAATGCTCTCACATTCTCAAATATTTTGGATACGAGTCATTTAAAGAAGATTTTAACGTTAACAAGTGAATTGTAATTACTTTTTTTAAAGAATTCTGGATGAAAATTATTATATATTTTTTGGTTATTGCATTTTGTTTTCAGAATTTTGATGGTATTGAATGTGAATGGCCCATGTTTTATGTATACATGCTGATTGACAGTAAGTATGATGTTTTCTTCTATGATGTAAAATTGACTAAAAAGTCTGATGGCAAGTTTCTATTTAACATGTTATTTAAGTATGTTTATTTTTTTATACCATTTGAGCGAATTTTGAACAAAATAAACATCTGAAAATGTCAGTATTGATACATCATTCCTTTGGCTTCAAAAATATATATAAGGAAATATACAATGTATCACTAAGTATTAACCAATTACATGGCTGTAGCATTACAGTACTGTTTAAACAGTTAAATCCGTGTGACAATAGAAAAATATATAGCCATGTATTGATACCGCAACATTGTAACATGATTCTGGATCGTGAAGGCAATAATCATGAATCATCCATGTATGGATGATATCAGACCGTCTCTTAACACATTGATATCTCAATATCCTTTAAATATATATGTACATTAAATGTTCTAGCAGACTATTTGTATCTATCAGGTATATTCCTTGGCAATAAAGAGGGCATTTTAACATACTCGAAGCTACTGGACAATGTTTTGACAAGGTCGAATGAAGGTGAGCAAGATGATATAGTTATCTTACAGGGATTGTATTAAAATGAATCAGACAAAAAAAATCACATAGGAAATTTATGATTATAACCTGATTAATCTTATACTGATATATTTTTGGTGACATGAATTGATAAAACATAGATTTTAATCAGTTTAGACATGTAAATTGTAAGGTAAGGAATTAATAAAAATATTATAAATTTATGAGTGTTTAATTGTCATGTCAATATTTTTGCCTCTGCTGTTTTGTGCCAGTGCCGTTTACATCTCTGTGCAGAAGTACCAGATTCTACAGCTCCTCATTTATAATAGTCACAATTAGATATTGAAATTTATTTATCATTAATGTAAGGATAAAAAAACTTAAACATTAATAGGTTAAGTTTGTGTTTGCATTTTACAGGGTTACTTCTCCCCCAGTATTTCTACATCCCTGCAGATCAGATTGAGCGGGAGAGAGCACGCCCCGGCTCTGCCGACAGAATACCAAGTGATGTGGGCTCTACTAAAGGCATATTTCTATGGGGACAATCTGTGTATTTTATATCACAACTTTTAGGTAAGACAGACACAAAAACTGTAAAGACAATGAAAGGAATATTCATTCATGGTGTTGTAGATTACTTTATATGAGCCGCGTCATGACAAAACCAACATAATGGGTTTGCGACCAGCATGGATCCAGACCAGCCTGCGCATCCACGCAGTCTGATCAGGATCCATGCTGTTAGCTATCAGTTTCTCTACTTGTTATAGGGTTTGTAAGCGAACAGCATGGATCCTGATCAGACTGCAGGGATGCGCAGGCTGGTCTGGATCCATGCTGGTTGCAAAGGCATTACGTTGGTTTTGTTGTGACGTGGCTCATATGAATTTATTTTATTTTGAAAGTGTTGGAAACTTTAAGCTTATTAAATCACTCTTGAATTCGTTCTTGGAATCAACCAGTAGTAAGCAATGAGTGTAAAGTTTCTTGCTCAAGGAAACAACAACTTGACCCCGGCCAGGTTTGAACCCTCACAGCCAGCAATCTTCAGATTACTAGTCCGACGCGTTAACCACTCAGCCATAATCTCATTGGTAGCATGTCTAGTAAAAGCACAAGGTTTATGTCAGGGCTCTTAACACACTTCATATTCACTTTATTTCTTGCTAGACATGGTTTTACAGGACAATTTAGTTGAAGGCAATATGTCGTGAGTTTATACCTTTACCCTGTATATACTCACCAATATGACTGGCTGCATATAAGTTGGAATCTTTATTTTACCCTTAATGCTGCAGTATTTTACTTTGACTAGCATACTGTTTTTTGACATTGTTGTTTGGTGATCTTTATAGACAGGAATATAGTATAAAGCTAAAAAATTAAAACAATTATCAAATCTTAAATACAAAAAGATTCTAGAGATATGATTTAATTATCATTGGTATTTGAACAGTCAAGCAGATCTCAAATACTGTATGTGTATTTAAATTCGCGGAAGCAAATTTTCGCGGAAAGGTCCATTTTGGGGGTATATACAAATATTCGCGCTATTTTGAATTCACGGAAGTGACTGCCCAAAATCATAAATTCGCGGAGACCCATCAGGTTAAAAATAAGAGAATAACTCTTGCACAATAAGGCAATGATTTTCGCAAGCAGCCTTCTTTTATTTACATACTTTTAAATGTAATCATTTTGGACTTCACAGTTATTTTCAACACCTGGTGTCAAACAATACGCTATTGTACAGAACAAAGACACTAATTTGTCTAGCGGACAGATTATGGCAAACAAAAGAATGTCCGTTAACGCGCATGATTTTTCACAGTTTTAAACAGCACTGAGTGAGACCATTCTCTTTTTACCAATTTTGTTAAAATGTTGGCTGAGTAATTGTGTTTTGTTTTCCATGTTTTCATCAGTTAGAATCGTTAATTGTTTGTGTTATTTGTATAATTGCTTATTAGAAAAAACAAAATATAATCTGATCAGATGTAAAGACGTTTATGACTCAGACTATAAAATAAATAGCGTGATACAATGGTATTGTTTAAACATGTTTATACTTCTACAAGAATCTGATAATCAGATCAGTCAAACAATACTACACTAGCAAACTGATTTATATACAAAGCTGAATGTTACATGTACAGTTTATACAACAGTAACATCACTCTTTGAAATCGCCACGGATACCAGACTTATGGCAGCCGTTTACACACTGATATACATTGTTCTATAGATGCGCGAAAATATGAAAATATGATATTATTGGTGTAGAAATATTCGCGCTGAACATGAATTTGCGGATCGAATGTCACCGCGAAGATCGCGAAAATTTGAAGCCCGCGAATACTTCTACACATACAGTATATGTAAGAAACTGTCTTAATAAAATTAATAAATGTAGCTGTATTTTTATTAAAAATGTACCTAACATGTACTTGTATTTCTTGCAGTGAAAGATTTACTCAATGTTAATGACCTTGACCCAATTAGACGACACCTTCCAGCATCAGAGAGGCCAAAGGTCAACAGTAGATACTCTTCATTTCAGGTATGGAGGAAGAAATAGCATTATCCTTTTAGAGAATACATGTAGTTGTATGTAGTTTTAAAACTTACATGTTCTAATTTACATTGACATTTTGGAGATGGCAATTACTAAATTAAAATGTAGCATGTGTTTTGGAAGTTCAGTTAAATATTAAGGCTGAATGAAACATAATTATCGGTTTTTTTTCTTGATTTAACCAAATTATTTTAATTAAAATTGCATCAGCAGTACATATTATGAAAAATATTAGCATGAGTGCAATCACATATGAATAAAAAATGTATGGATTTTTATTTATCAAAGATAATGTACAACATTATGTGGCTATAATGTGAATGCTTGGTTGGAATTTTTATCAAATTACCAATAAGTATTAATATACTAATAAGTGTTAGTTTATTTCAATAATTAGTATTAAGGGTCCATCCGCCCTTTCAGGCACATAGAGTACGGACCCCAGACATGTCACCATTCATGTCCTTTTAAAAATGTTGTTATCAATTAGTATTATATCAGTCTTACATATCAGTCAAAATACTGATTGTGTTTACAAATTCTGCTAACAGGAATTTCTGGAATTTTCAGTAGTACATTTTATATACATGACCCTTTTGGTGCATAAACCTGTAATGCCTACATGACTCTTGAGGTATAAATACCTGTAACATATACATGACTCTTGAGGTACATGAACCTGTAACATACATGTACATGACTCTTTAGGTACATGAACCTGTAACATACATGTACATGACTCTTTAGGTACATGAACCTGTAACATATACATGTACATGACTCTTTAGGTACATGAACCTGTAACATACATGTACATGACTCTTTAGGTACATGAACCTGTAACATACATGTACATGACTCTTTAGGTACATGAACCTGTAACATATACATATACATGACTCTTTAGGTACATGAACCTGTAACATATACATGACTCTTAAGGTACATGAACCTGTAACATATACATGACTCTTTAGGTACATGAACCTGTAACATATACATGACTCTTTAGGTACATGAACCTGTAACATATACATGAATCTTTAGGTACATGAACCTGTAACATATACATGACTCTTTAGGTACATGAACCTGTAACATATACATGACTCTTTAGGTACATGAACCTGTAACATATATGTACATGACTCTTTACGTACATGAACCTGTAACATAAACATGACTCTTTAGGTACATGAACCTGTAACATACATGTACATGACTCTTTAGGTACATGAACCTGTAACATATACATGACTCTTTAGGTACATGAACATGTAACACATATACATGAATGACTCTTTTCAATGCTTAATATTTATAAGAATGAATGTGTCATTTTAAAGTGTTAACACAGAGTAATACTTTGCCATGAATGATCAAATAGTATATATTTTTTCGTGGGGATTTTTCACAAGTTTGTATTAAGTCGCAGACTGGAAAGTGAGAAAAAGTTTACATTGTTTAGTATCATTAAAGCATGATGTATGAAAATATATCTGATTAGCCACTTCATGTTTTTATTTGAACTTTCATAAACACATATACTAGGGATCATTATGGGAGGTCACTTTCCAAGGTCCATAACACTGGCATGGATTTTACTGAATTATACCCCTTTGAGAGACCTTAGAATTATTCACAGTGTCTTCAGAATCATCAGAATCCCAGAGTGTTTTAAACTGATTTAAGTACATTTTGTATTTTGTCTAAGTCTATTGTGTAAACCACTAATAAAAAGCTATTCATTTGTATCCTTAATTTTAGGTCACTTAACCAAGACACATAACTCTAGCATGAATATTTTTTTAGGGAATTAATCCCCTTCGTTGAATAATATCACAGCATTGTTCTTGTCTAACTGTCAAGCACTAAGAATTCTATTTAATCATTGTAAATGAATTATTGTTAATACAATTGAAATTTGTTGTCTCTGAGGTCAACATAATATTATATATAAAAGTACTACTGTATTTCTTTACTATTGATATATAACATTTTATTTAGCGTGCACATTTTGGGAAAGAATCAGAGGTAAACAAATGTCTGAATTTTTTGAGAAGGCGAAAGTTTGATCCTCATATTAATTAAATTTTAAAAAGTTTTGTTTTTACTTGACACCTTACTGTCCATGAAAACACATCTGCCTTGCTTCAGCTACATGTAGATTTACACAGTTCAAGATGTCGTGAAATATTTTTTCATGTGGGGAGTCATGTGACCAGAAATAATTAATGCTGTGTTCATAAAAAGCTCAAATGAACATAAGAATTATTCATTTTTTCTCCCCTATCACCTCACTGGTTCAAGACACCTTATAATAAGATTGAATTCTTTTGCGGCCAGCTAATGTAAGGTTAGTGTTTCTTTACATGTGCCTAATATATGAGAAATCAGTCAATGATTAAGTTCATGGGTTTTTGCCCCCGCCAATAAAGATTGACAAAATTAAATTCACGGCTTTTTGCCCACACTGATAAAAATTAACAAAATGATAATTCATGGATTTTTGCCCGCACTGGTTAAGATTGACAAAATTACAGTTCATTGGTTTTTGCCACCACTGATAAAGATTAACAAAAAGAGTGTTGATGGGTTTTTTACCCAACCCTGATAAAAATTGAAAAAGTGATAGTTCATGTGTTTTTTCCCCACTGATAAAGATTAACAAAATGATAGTTCATGGGTAAATTTTCCCTACACCTATAATTATTGACAAAATGAATGTTCATGCGCTGTTGAACCCACAGTTAAAGAATGACAGGATTGTAAATAATGGGAAAAGAATGACAAAATAATTGTTCATGGGTTTTTGCCCCTACCAACTATTTATTGATTGAAAAATGATAGTTCACAGGGGTTTTTGCCCCACTAGTAAAACTTGAATAATGAGAGTCCATTAGTTTTTGCCTTAATGATAAATATTGAGAGAAAAACATAGCTCATGGGATTTTACTGCCACCAATAAAGAATAGAAGTTGTCATATTGAACAGCTTCAACATTTGTTCATTTTAATTCAACCATGTCTTGTCTGTTAATATTTTTCTACCATAATCATATGGGCAGAAAATAAAATGGAGATTAAAATAAAAAAAAATGTTGTAAATAAATAGCATAAATTGGCAGAACAATTTTATAAGTGGTATGCATTCCTAGATCTTAGTAATGTCCAATATCTTATTTTCTATAATTTTGGGTTGATTTCTGACATTCTTGTTTCATAATGAACCATTACAGGTCACATGACCTCCCACAATGCTTTTGCTGTAAGTGAATGATATGTAGTTTTCTAAATCCAAGCCTGAAGATATTGGTATCTAGTCAACAATACCAAATTATGAGATTTTTGTTGAAACATTGTGTCCTCAACCTTTTTTATGAGCACCACATGTTTTATCTTTGTAGAAAAAAATGTTGTTTTTTTTTTTAATTTGACGCTGAAAATTCATGTTACATATTAACATAATTTTTTGAATGTGTTTGTCACCAATTATTATTTGTAATTGTCCCTTTTTACTGTTAACCCTTTAATACAATGAATAGCTGCATTTTTATTGGTTTGTGCATGGCTGCATGTATGATGAATTTATTAGAAAAAAAAAGATGAAACCTTTACCACGTCTTAAATAGACTCAAGCTGGACAAAACCATTCTACTCAGGTGCCTGTTCGTGCCTGAAATAATGCACGGAAGAGCACCTGAGGTCTTCCTCCACCAGTAAAGCTGGAACGTCGCGATATGACCTATACTGTGTCGATGTGACGTAAAACCCAAAACAAAACAAACAAAACCATTCTGATTATTCATCATTTTTTTACTGAATAGCAAACTCATTAACAAATATTGCCTTAATTTAACCAAAAAAAAAAGCAAATTTTCAAGCCTTTAAATAATTATTTGAAATATTTTAATACAAAGGTATTGGAGGACTTACGTTGAAATTTAGACAAGAATGTAAATCTAATTGATAAGGATGGGATCCCACTGGGAAATGGAAGTGGGATAGATATGCCATTTTCACATTGATGATATCCTACTGGGATTTGATTCATCCACTGGGATTTCACTGGGATCCCAGTGGGATCACAGTTTGTTTTTTTTGTAGGGATAATTTTGTACATGCATAAAAATAATACCTGGAATGAATTGCATTGTAGATATATATAAAAAATATGTTGTATATAGTAACTTTTCATTTCTATTTCTGCACAATGAACTCATTTTAATGATGTTTTGTTCATGTAGTTATTGTTGATTAGTTGTTGTTGTTGTGGCTATACATTGTATTTACGTGAAAAAGTCTGTCTGTCTATGAATGACTTTGAATCTTGTGCAATAGTAAAAATGTCCAATCCTCCATTAAGGGTGAATATACATTCTCAAGAACCATGAACAAGATATATAAAGACCTACTGCACAAATGGCATAAATTTATAACTGGGTACATGTATATTGGTTATTAACAGTTCAAAAACAGTTCAATCACAATATCATTATTTTGTTTTTCATATTTTTTTTTAAAGCAACATACCTTGAGGGTTAATGTAAAATTTAGTTGTGAAGTTATTTAACCTTTTAAACCTACTTGAACAGTAAGGGATTAGACTTTGCCACCAGTATAGAGCCAGTCCAGTCTGCACACCCATAAACTGTGCCAATATGACACGGAAATTAATGACACCCAGATTTAAAAAATAGCCAAAAAATATTTCAAAAATTAACATTTCTTTTGTCATATTTGAACCATTTTGTTGATGTAAAAATGTTAGATATTCCCATGTTTTCTTAATTATTATATTTGATTCAAGATCAGTGGACTCTTGTTAAGATCTGAGTATCAAGAAAACTAAAAAAAGAAAAAAAAGCTACAGGTGTGATTTTTTTCTCATTCAAATGTGCAGAGTGTGACCTTTCTTGAAAGGCTTAATTTTAGATAGGTTTCTTTAAAATCATTCTAGGTTTCTTAAAATCATAATATTTCCTATGTCTAGTTTTTCTAGACATGTCTGGCTGTAGTTGGTTTGTTCTTTGAAAGATTTAAGATAGGACTTATTTTTTCTGAAATCTACAGATCACTCCACCGGACCTTGTGTTACAAGTTGTACTTATAGCGGAGAGCTCACGGCTCCAGCAGTTGTTGGCTACATATGGTATACAGACTCAAACTCCTCACCAGGTTAGTAGTGATTTTTATATATGAGCCGCTTCATGACAAAACCAACGTAATGGGTTTGCGACCAGCATGGATCAAGACCAGCCTGCGCATCCGCGCAGTCTGATCAGGATTTATGCTGTTCGCTTTTAAACCTTTTAACAAGTTAACAAGTAGAGAAACTCAGATAGCGAACAGCATGGATCCTGATCAAACTGCGCAGGTGCGCAGGCTGGTCTGGATCTATGGTGGTCGCAAACCCATTATGTTGGTTTTGTCATGACGTGGCTCATATGTATTCTTAGCAAGGTCAGGTAAAAATTATCATTCTGCAAAAAAAAAAAAATCGAAGAAGATATATCTTTTTAATTATTTTGAACTTATTTTCCACACATTTTAACTTTCCCTTCTGACAATTCTCTAAAAGCTTTTATTGGCCTGTAATTTATCTCTTCAACTTTAAGGTTTAGTCTATTCTATTTACAAAATGTACCTGTATTTAACTGAGCGGTGTCACGACAAAACCAACATATTGGTTTTGTGACCAGCATGGATCCAGACCAGCCTGAGCATCCACGCAGTCTGATCAGGATCCATGCTGTTCGCTTACCAACTCAATTACAAGTAGAGAAACTGATAGGGAACAGCATGGATCCTGATCAGACTGTGCGGATGCGCAGGCTGGTCTGGATCCATGCTGGTCGCAAACCCATTATGTTGGTTTTGTCATGACACGGCTCAATTGATTTCAGGTTGAGCCTATACAGATTTGGTCACCTAAGGAACTATCAAGAGCCTATGAATATCTTGGTATCAACAAGAAACTTGGACTTACCGGAAGACCTAAAAGACCTTTTGGTGTACTCAGTACCTCAAAGGTAAGAGGTTACGACTTTTGTTCTAAAAGTATATATTGAACATTGAAATTAAAGTAGGACTTGACCATATCCCTCCCTATGCTTTATTTGTATGATTGATTCTCTGTACTCATGTTACTATTATTATGTTAAGGGAATTTTATGCCTAAATTTATAATTGTTTGACTTGACTGGATTTAATGGAAATACCTATAATTATGAAATGTAATGATATGCTTAGGAACTAGATATCAATTTTGAGTGCATTGTTGTAGAAAAAAAGCACTGTTTTAGTTCAAATGCACAGGAATATCTGAGTGATGAATTACCAAGCATTTGAACAATAAACCATGCATAATTATACTATACAACTGCAGTAATGCAAGAAAAATCAATACCGGTATCTGTTTCCATTTTAACATGTTAATAAAAAAAAGAGAATAGATAAAAATATGTTACACTACATTTAGCGTAGAAGTAATTTTCCTGATTTCATTTGGATTATTGATGTCATATCTGACATCATATGACGTGTAAGCATTTTTTTTTATGCTGTGCATATATGGTGTAATAATGTGCTTGATTGCCCTATCTTTTTGATAGTGGAATAGTGTCAAGCATGTTAGAATATGATATTATTATGGAGTGATATATTATTGATATGTTGAACTTTTTACCTGATGAATTTATGTAATGGATTTTCCCATTATTTTAGTTTCGAACATGCCATTCAAATTTTAAGGGATTTCAATATCAAAATAGGACATGTCAACAAAAGTGTCATGTTGAAACAGTGTTATATATAATTTTGATTTTACTTGCACATATATGGTTTTAACTTGAAATAATGAAGTGATAATATTAATTAGCCTTCATGGCTTACTATGGTAAAGCCATGATATTGTATGGTATTAGATGTATCTTACTTTTATTTATTTTAATATTTATTTATTTATTTTTTGATTGATTAAGAATATTTTTGTTTTATAACATTACAAAGATATATAGAGTATGTGGTGCTACAGTATTGTGTTACCCTCTACTGTTTGAAGTGGTAGATTTCTACATGGCTCAAGACATCAGTATTGTCATTGATGACCTAAAGGTAAGTAGCAAAGTTTTGACATTTGGTTATCATAAGCTTATAAATCTACAAGTCATTTTTCTATACATTAGTTAAAAAGTTAGTATTTAAGGTTTTAAACCTTTAAAGTGAATTGGTCTATAATGGAATATCTGTAATACCTTAAAGATTTATGTTGATAGCATTTGAAATTATATATGTGAATACAAATCACAAAAGAATTAAATATGATTGTTAGATACTTGATCTGATGTGACATACATGTATCAATAAAAAGCAGCTTATGAAGTGTTCTAGAAAGAAATACTATTATTCATCATAAATATGTTTATACCTAATCACTTAAGAAATCTGCATGTCAACAGATGATTTTCCAGAATTATTTCATAAGAATATCCGAATAATACATTAAAAAATGTACACATTGTAGACCAATAGAGTTTCTTGAGATCATTAATCTAAAAGTGATTTTGCAAGGTTAATCATCTAAAAGAGTGTTTTTAATATTATGAATATAAAAAAGTTTTCAAAGTCATAAAATTTTAACTCTTTGATGTTGAATTCTCAGTTTATGAATCTAAAATTAAGTTTTAAGGCTATGAATGTAAAGGAGTTTTTGAAGGTCATGAACCAAAGAAGGGAATTTGTGGTTGTCAAAATTGATACCATATCACATGAGGAAAGAGCAAACTCTGGCAACCACCAAATTTGACTATTTCATTGCTTTAAAGATTCATGGAGGTATAGATATTTAAAACTTGTTACTATTTTCTTGCAGAATGATCTTGCATTTTTATCAAAATGTTGGAAACTTGCTGGGCGACCAACATTCTGTATGTTGATCAGAGAGAATAATATCAGAGGGAAAAACTTTAGTGAGTTTCTGGAACTTCTTGCACAGTTTAAGAGTGGAGATGTGGATGGTATCCGTGTCAGGGTTGGCAGATTACAGGTTAGTTAAGTATTTATGTGAATTGTTAAAAGAGTATATAGAACGATCATCTAGCAAAGTATAAGGTTTTTGTTTTTATTGAAGTTCCAATTTCAACAGTTACATGGTCTTTTTTTTATCAAGAAGCCCTTATTAGCCTTAAATGTATCATACATTGATACATGTATGTTTTGTCTACTTATGCATTAGAATTCAAGCATATTTGACTTATGCATTAGAATTTGAGCATATTTGTTATGAAAAGTACCTTCTTCAATTCAGGCATATTCCTAATATGAAACTTTCTTTATCTGCTTGCTTATTTTTATCCAATTTATTAATAATGTCTAGAGTCTGGCATTCGTTTTCCACTTAAAAGTAAGTAGTTCTCAAACTGGTATCCTAAAGTTCTCAGTAGCATGTAAAGACTGTATTCTGTGATTTCAGACGTTGATATCATCAGCTTGTATAGAACATTTGGATTTCCTGACCACCCTGCCAGATCAGTCAATCTTCCAGCCCTTCCAGGAGGCTAACCATGGACGATTCAGCTTCAAAAGTCTGACTGACATACCGGCGGTGATGGAGCTAGCTGAAGATACTGTCCTCAATGAACAGGTGAGCCGCGTCACGACAAAACCAACATAGTGCGTTTGTGACCAGCATGGATCCAGACCAGCCTGGGCTTCTGCGCAGTCTGATCAGGATCCATGCTGTTCGCTTACAAACCCTATAACAAGTAGAGAAACTGATAGCAAACAGCATGGATCCTGATCAGACTGGGCAGATGCACAGGCTGGTCTGGATCCATGCTGGTTGCAAACCCATTATGTTGGTTTTTTGTGACGCGGCTCAGGTAAACTTTCAATCATTGCTTCAAAGCTATGAAGATATAAAAATTATAAATAATACAGCTAAGGTTATGTTAATGAAAAATATACTTAGTTAAAAGAAAACTAAATTACTAAAAATGTTTTGTTTTTTTCGTATATAATACAATTTTAGTTTATCTTTTCACATGTTAATTTTTCTCAGTCTTCAAACGGTGGCATATAAATACTTCCTTTTTTCATGTAGGAACTGAAGGTAAAGGCAACATGGGATCTAATACAGATGTTTAAAGCTACCGAGTCCCTGACAGCTCAAAACCAGATTCTGAAATTGCTTCTCCACAGAGAAGGTCCAAATTATCATTTTGAGGGCGTGCCAATCAGTAGGAGGCTGGAACAACTTGTTGAAAGGGCAGGGCTACATAAAAGATGGGAGGTTGTACGATGTTGCTCTGCCCTACTTGGAAAACTTGTTGACAGCTTGGCACCGTCTATAACCAGTATTCTAGTCAGAGGAAAACATGTAAGTGAATGGATAGTATATTAGACTGATGCTAAAAGATGGGGAAAAAAGAATTATTTTAAACACAAAATAAGAATTTAAATACTTAATTCGAATTTGTAATATAATGCTGTTTTAGTTTTGTTTGATTTTATAGAAAATAGTAGAGTTATAAGGTTACAGACTTCAATAGTTTGTCAGAATTATCTTTGACGGTCAAAATTAGGGCAGAATGCTATGAAAGTAAAACTAATGGAGCCATCAAATCATTAGATTTTGAAGGAATATAAAATCATATTAATTTACTTGCTGTGATACACATTTTAGAAAAATATTTTCTGTGTGCTAGAAAATTGTTTCTAGTTTGGAAAGAGGATGCTTTTAAATGCTTGGTGATATTGATATTTTTGAAGAAAAAAAACACCAAGTAACAAAATATATGAACATGGATCAATGATCAGGGCCTTATAAATCTATATTCATATGAAATCAATATTAATGTGAAACTATAACGAATGCGCTTCATATTTCTTCATATTATGTGATTGGCTTGAAGTTGACAGTGGGCGTGTTTGGTCATGAAGAGGAGGTGCTAGACAAACCGGTCAGCCCTAATGAGATAAAGAGTATTCTATACAGTAAATGCATGCCGTATGACACTTGCCAAGCTGTACTGCAACAAGAACTTATTCTCGCTATTGGGAAACACATTGCAACAACACCAGATGCATATGATGGAATTCTGAAAATAAGAATAGGGTAATATATTTTTGCTTTTTTTTTTTGTCTGTACCCAAAAATAAATGATAAAATTTTAGCCGCGTCACGAAAAAAAATCAACAAAAAGGGGTTTGCGCCCAAAGAATGAAAACCAGCCCAAAGCCTGGGGCATCCCGCGGGACTGTTTCAGGACCATGCGTTCCCCTATCATTTTCCTATTTAAAAATGGGGTTTTGGTAACCCAAAACAACATGATTTTTGATCAGACCCCCAGGGGATGGCGGGCTGTCTGGACCCAAATTGCGGGTCGAAAACCCCATTATTTTGGGTTTTTTCGGACGCAGCTTATATATTGTAGACATGCTGAAATGTACTGGGTCCACCCTATTGATGAAAGGCAAGTAAAACTTTCCCCTTAAATGTTGTCACTGTATTAAGAAAAACAACTGTCCATAAAATAATTTGTATGAATATTTCTTGGTTCTTTATTCTAATGGATAAAGTGTTAATCCTTGAAGCACTGTTTGAATTACAAAGCCAAGGCTGCCTTTCTGAAATCAAATTAAAGACAAACACCGAGACAGTTTTGAATTTCAAAGAACATATTGTAACTTAAGACCCCTATGTTATGACTCCTTCAATTTTTGGCTAGCAAAGGAAAATGAAGATTAAGACTTTGCAGATTAAAGCACAGGTCAGTGTATCTCTTAATTTCTCAGGAGAATGAATTTAATTTTAGGCTTAGAGCTTTGACTTAAGATGAAAATGTTTATTGAAAAAGTATTAAATTAGCATACTAGGTCTAATGTCCTAGAACTAAGCATACACTTAGGACTGTCTTTGAAATGTAGCCCAACGATATGCATCGAAGGGTACGTTAAAGATATTTTTATGAATATTGCTAAGTAATTCATTCCAACTGAGAGTATTGTTAACCACTGAAGCAGTGCTTATATGATTTAAGTAAATTCTTATACAATGTTTATATTATAGTTGGTTTGTTCGTGCCATGGAGATGGAGTTAGAGCAAGAGGATGAGCACGTGAAAATTGAGTCTCTGTCGCCATATCAGGTGAAACAGTTACTGCTCAGTATTCTTGTGCATAGATCTGATGAGTACGATCTGAGGACACCGATACAACGACGACAACTTGATGGCGCTCTAAGCAGAGTGCCGAAAGATTTCTACGAACGAGTGTGGGAGATTCTAGAAAGAACACCCGGAGGAATTAAAGTGGCTGGTTACTTGTTACCACAGGTTTGTTTGCCTTTAATACGCTGATTGTGTTAAATTGTTCATTCCAGAGTCTTTCCATGGAACTGTCACTTGTTAATTTAAGGGGTATTAAAAAACTCAACAAACAATATAGAGCCCTATTAGTCCAGAGTCCTTTTATGGAACTATCCATTATCAATTCTGGGGATATCAAGAAATAAACAAACAATAAAATGCCCTATTAGTTCAGATTCCTTTTATGGAACTGTCTATGATCAGATTGGGGATATTAAAAAGTCAACAAACAGTATAGAGCCCGGTTTAGTACAGATTCCTTTTATGGAACTGTTCATTATCAATTTTGGAGGATAAACACTGTAAAGTCCGTCAGAATGCAAAGATGTGCAAAATGGCATAGCTCTAAACTGGTATCAAAAACAGGCCTTTTCAATTTAGGTGTCAGCAGGTTTGATTAATCCTGTTTCTAGTGAACTTGACAACGCCAGGTAACGATAAGTAAGTGATTATTGATATGCTAATGAAGAAAAACATTATTTAACATATTAAACTCACATTATTCTGATGATTTCTGGAGAATGATATGGTTTAATGGTAATACTAAACTAAAGTTTGCTATGTAAATTGTATAAGAATGGAAAGTGTTTAGAATCAGTTGATGTTTCCTTATCATATTGCTCATTCCTTTGGTTAAATTCTATTCTGCTTTTTATCTTCATTGGTTAAATTTTATCCTGGTTTTATTTTCATTATTTTAAACTTGATGAAAAGGAAGAATTCAAAGAAACCATACTGTCAGATTAATCATACAGTTTCAATGTAGATAGTTTTTTTTACGACGAGTCAGCGATACACTGAAGTGTATCAGATTTCAATGTACAGTTTCATTTATAAACCTGTTGCTGGGAGTATAAAATATGTTTACATGTTTAAATGTCAAATCGTTTAAGCTAGAAAAAAAATAATGCGCGTTTTGAGAGAGATTTTTACATCAGTTAGGAGAGACACGCTTTATAGTGTGTAGCGGGTATTTTTTTGTAAAGAAGAGAATTTTTTGTTTTGTAGGGAGTTTGTTGGTTTATTGAAGTTGGTTGAATATAATTGTGGTGATCTTAATTGATCAGGGTTTATTGGTTGTTAATTAGTTTTTTGGCTGTTGAGTTTATATCTGTTTGTGAAGATATATTTGGTTGATATTGGTTGAATGTTTGTTTGGTCAAGATTATATTAGTTGCTGCTTTGTTTTGAGGATATATGTAAATATTGGGTGCTTTAGTTTAAGTTGTTTTCTGATGCTGATTGTGTGAAGTTAATATTGTTGGATGAATGTTTGTGGTTTATACCGTATCTTAGAGTTGTAAAAAATATTCATTTTTTGTGTTCTTCATTTTGTGGTGATTTTATTGTTTGTTTGATCATAAGTTGTTTAGAGCTTGGGCTCGCCAGGTGTCTTGTTTCGTATAAAAGACGTATACGTGAAAAGATATTTCATATAAATGGCTGATAAATGATGTGTGTTTGTTGAAGATTATTATCAGTTCCCTGGTTGTTACTGTTAATACAAGTTCATTGCCGGTGCCCGGTAGGTGCCATGCTATATAGAGATTATATTTGGAAAAACAATTGTCGGTGCTACAGGGGTACACCATTTTGTTGAGTAATAAGCATTTACTTAACGGGTTTCGTAAAAGTTGATTATTTTATTGAATAGTAATCCATTATTAAGCAATTATGGATTATGATAAATGGGTATCATTGGGAGAGAGGCTTGGGTGAAGGACGGGGATTTACGTGATTATGTTCAAAAGAAAGAATTAGAATATATTGATAGAGAAGAGAGAAATATTAGACGTGAAAGAAGATAAAACGGCGATTTGAGGCCGAGCGTAAAGCAAAAAAAAGCTGAACGTGAAAATCGAACGTCTTGAAAAAGAAGCCGAACGTGAGGAAAAGAAACGTTTATTTCAAGCTGAAGTAGAGATGAAAATGAAAGAGCAAGAAATAGAATTAATGAAGTTAAAAATCGAGGCTGGGGATCGCCTTGATACCCCGTCTAGCACCGGTTTGAGGCCAAGATTGCCTAAATTTGAAGAGTCAAAAGATGACATAGATGCTTATATAGAGCGTTTTGAAAGGTTCTCCATTAGTCAAGGATGGAAAGAAGATACATGGGCAATAAGCTTAAGTTCTTTATTAACGGGGAAGGTCTTGAAGTTTACACTAGTATGCCTCCCGAGCAAGCATCAGACTATCAAGAATTAAAAACAGCAGTTTTGAAAAGATACCAATTAACAGAATACGGTTTCAGAACGAAATTTAGAGAGAGTAAGCCGGAACAAGGGGAGACTGTAAACCAATTTATGGCTCGCTTAGATAGGTACTTTAGCAGATGGACAGAAATGGCCGACGCTGCGGATACAGTAGATAAAATGAAAGATCTTATTATTAGAGAGCAATTTGTCAAAGTTTGTTCAACAGAGCTAGCTCTTTTTCTGAAGGAACGAAAGCCAAAGGATCGTAGAGATGTCATCTCTTTGGCTGAACAATACTTAGAAGCTCATGGCGGTACAATTACAGATAGTAAAAGCTCAAAAGTTGCCAATTTTTCAAATAAATCAGCAATACGCCTTAATCAAGGTAATCTATTAAAACCAATACAGCACTATCACAGAGAAAAATAGAAAAAGTTACATGCTTCATATGTAATAGAGAGGGTCATGTGGCCAGAGATTGTCGAGATCAGACTAAGAAAAGATATGGGGCTGCTGCAATGTCATATGGAGAGCAAAATAGAAATTACTTTAAAACAAATCGGGATTCTTCACCAAGGAACTGGCGTAGTAGGCCTGGAGAAAATAGACGTGATGGTAGATCAGATGATAAGAAAGTATCGGGGTTATGTATGTCAATTTGTCCAACAAGTTCTTACGATGGTTGTATTGAAGAGGGAAAACTTAAATTAGCCAATGGTAATTCTGTGCCTGTCATTACAAGTAGCTGTACAATTGAATCATTAGAAGGTGAACGTCAACTGGATCTGAAACTAGGATATGTTGGTAATCAAGAGGTGAAAGTTCTTAGAGACACTGGTTGCGAGTTGGCAGTAGTTAGAAAGAAGTTAGTGGAAGAAGATCAAATGCTGAATAAAAATTGTGTCATGATAGCAATAGATGGTCGGGCCAGGTTGGTACCTATGGCAAAAATAGACATTGATACACCTTATTATAAGGGTAAAATAGAAGCTATGGTATTAGAGTCAGCAATTTGTGACTTAGTCTTGGGCAATATTCAGGGTGTACTTGATAAGCCAAATTAGAAGTGGGTTAGCCGAGAAGTAACAAATATAGCTGCTGTTGTTACTAGAGCACAGGCAGAAAAAGAGAAGAAAGCAATGAAACCTCTTAAAGTTCCGAAGGTCGAAGATAATGAAATTACGGTAGATGTTCTTAAGAAAGAACAATCAAATGACAATACGTTACAGCGTTTGTGGCAGTATGCTAGGGAAAATAAGATCATGAAAACAAAAAGTGGTAATAAATTTAGATATGAAGTAGAAAAAGATGTGTTGTATAGTATATTTGAGACGGTGAAAGGTGATTTGAAGTCTGAAACAAGACAAATAGTTGTTCCTAGTAAATATCACAAAAAGAGTTATGTCATTAGCTCATGAATCTATAGTGGGTGGGCATTTGTCTGTATGCAAGACTTTAGACAGGATACAGTCTAGTTTTCACTGGCCAGGTATTTCTAGTGATATAACTAGATTTTGTCGTTCCTGTGACATTTGTCAGAAGACGGTGCCCAGGGGTAGACTTCAGAAAGCTCCTTTAGGTGAAATGCCTATTATTGATACTCCGTTCCAGAGAATTGCGGTTGATTTGATAGGGCCAATAACGCCTGTATCGGAAAAGGGAAATAGGTACATATTAACTGTAGTTGATTATGCTACACGTTATCCAGAAGCTGTTGCTTTACCAAGAATTGAGACTGAAAATATAGCTGAAGCATTGTTAGATGTTTTTGCAAGAGTAGGTTTCCCATCGGAAATACTTAGTGATAGGGGTAGTAAGTTCACGTCACAACTTATGGAAGAAGTTTGTAGACTTGTATCACTGAAACAGTTGTTTACTACCCCTTACAATCCAAAATGTAATGGTCTTTGTGAGAGAATGAATGGTATTTTAAAAAGCATGTTGAAGAAAATGTGCCAAGAAAGACCTAAGGATTGGGATAGATATTTGTCTGCGGTTCTCTTTGCATACAGAGAAGTCCCTCAGTCAAGTACAGGGTCTCACCATTTGAACTTCTATATGGCAGAACTGTTAGAGGTCCCATGCAAGCACTAAAAGAATTATGGACAGAGACAGAAGTACCAGAGACACGTAATACGTATGAGTACGTCCTAGATTTGAGAAATAGATTAGAACAAACATGCAAGATTGCTAGAGAGAATCTCAGCAACTCACAAGAAGAGTATAAACATCATTATGATAAAAAACACACGACCAAGAAGTCTTAAGAAGGAGACAAAGTTTTATTGCTCCTGCCTTCAACACACAATAAACTAATGTTACAATGGAAAGGTCCATTTGTTGTAAGTGAAGCAGTTAACAAGTTTGACTACAAAGTAAAAGTAGGTGATAGAATTGGAATGTACCACATAAATCTTCTGAAGAAATATGAAGAAAGAGAAGATAGAATTTGTGCGAGTGTAGCTGTAATAGAAGCCGAAAATAATGATGATAATGGGGTCGTTGATGATGAAAATCTTTTAGAACTAGTAGACACACAGAGTGAAGAGACGTACAGAGATGTTAATGTTAATGATCAATTAACACTTGAACAAAAAATCAGAAGTAAATGCGTTGGGCTTCAAGAATTTGAGGATATTTTTACTGATATTCCCGGAACTACAGATCTTGAATCTCACAAGATTGAGTTGACTGACAAAACACCAATTCGTGTTAGGCAATATACGATACCATATGCAAAAAGGACAGCGGTAAAGGATGAAATTAAGAAAATGCTTGAATGTGGTATATCATTGAACCAGCAAATTCTGATTATAATTCACCAATTGTTTTGGTGAAGAAAAAGGATAATACAAACCGCTTTTGTATTGACTTCCAGACCGACTCAACTCTGTAACAAAGTTTGATACAGAAACCAATGGGTAATGTTGAGGATGTGATGGCAAAGCTAAAATGAAGATAAGTTCTTCACAAAAATTGATTTGACCAAAGGTTTTTGGCAAATACCAATTGAAAGCAAAATCAAGACATCTCACAGCATTTTCTACAACAGAAGGTAGTTACCAATTCAGAAAGATGCCATTTGGAATGGTCAATTCTGGTGCAACATTTAATAGAATGATGCGGAAGTTGCTTTCCGGAGTGAATGATACTGATAACTGTTGACGATGTGCTTGGACATACGGTTACATGGGAGAGACACATGAAGATGTTGAGACAATTGTTTCGAAAGAATACGAAACGCAAAGATCACAGTTAAGCCTTCTAAAATGTATGATTGGATTTGAAAGGATACCATTTACCGGTCATGTTGTTGGCAAATGCAAATGGAAGATGACAAATTAGTCAAAATTAGAGACGCTATGCGACCAGAGTCAAAGAAGCAACTGAGATCATTTCTTGGTCTAGCTGGATACTACAGAAAATTCATTGCTTCATTTGCAGAAATTGCTTCACCCTTGGACTGATTTTACGAAGAAAGGACAGCCAAATAAAATCATATGGAAACCAGAACATGAAAAAGCCTTTACGACATTGAAGCAAGTACTGACACGATCACCAATACTACGACTTCCAGACTTTTCAAAGTCGTTTGTTTTACAAATGTGATGCCTCAGATACCGGAGTTGGGCTGCACTTCTTCAACAGTTTGATGATGGTCTGCTTCCAATAGCTTACGCGAGTAAGAAATTGTTGAATAGAGAAAGAAACTACTCGGTTATCGAAAGGGAATGTCTTGCAATGGTATTTGGAATAAAGAAATTCAACAAATATTTGTACGGGAAAGAATTTGAGCTGCATACAGACCATGCTCCTTTAACGTATATTCAGAAATGTAAAGTAGAAAGTGGCCGCATAATGAGATGGGCATTATTTCTACAGAACTATAAGTTTAGAATAGTAGCTGTGAAAGGAAAGGACAACGTGTGTGCAGATTACCTAAGTAGACTAGATACCTGAAAAGAGACATTGTAGATTATTCCTTTTGTTTGAAAACAGTGGAGTGTTTTCTTGAGTAGGGGGCTGTCAGAATAATCATACAGTTTCAATGTAGATAGTTTTTTTTTACGACGAGTCAGCGATACACTGAAGTGTATCAGATTTCAATGTACAGTTTCATTTATAAACCTGTTGCTGGGAGTATAAGATATGTATACATGTTTAAATGTCAAATCGTTTAAGCTAGCAAATATGCGCGTTCATAACCTCAGATCCCCTTTCAAAATTCCATTTTATTTAGTTCCGCCCATTGTTTTCTCGTTTAGGGCACACGCTTTTTATAACTTGGGGACCATACGCCGCTTTTCATGGAATGGCACTAAAGTGTCACATTGAAGGTTCCATGATAACCGCCGTATGAACACATCTGCGGATGTTTCTAAATTCAAAATTTTACTATTGCATGTTTAAATGTTGAATTCTGCTTAAGCCGGTGCTAGGGGGCGTGGACGGTAACTTGCACTTTCCAGTACCGTCCATGAACAGGCTCAATCAAACCGAGCCTGCAACATTTTCAATTTTGCCGTGTTGGGCTTTCTTTAGGGATTCTGTATTTATCTATTTTGAGAGAGATTTTACATCAGTTAGGAGAGACACGCTTATAGTGTGTAGCGGGTTATTTTTTTGTAAAGAAGAGAATTTGTTGTTTTGTAGGGAGTTTGTTGGTTTATTGAAGTTGGTTGAATATAATTGTGGTGATCTTAATTGATCAGGGTTTATTGGTTGTAATAAGTTGTTTTGGTTGTTGAGTTATATCTGTTTGTGAAGATATATTTGGTTGATATTGGTTTAATGTTTGTTTGGTCAAGATTATATTAGTTGCTGCTTTGTTTTGAGGATATATGTAAATATTGGGTGCTTTAGTTTAAGTTGTTTTCTGATGCTGATTGTGTGAAGTTAATATTGTTGGATGAATGTTTGTGGTTTATACCGTATCTTAGAGTTGTAAAAATATTCATTTTTTGTGTTCTTCATTTTGTGGTGATTTTATTGTTGTTTGATCATAAGTTGTTTAGAGCTTGGGCTCGCCAGGTGTCTTGTTTCGTATAAAAGACGTATACGTGAAAAGATATTTCATATAAGTGGATGATAAATGATGTGTGTTTGTTTTGGGTGTAAATAATGATCAGAGTTCTTTGTTTTGGGTGTAAATAATAATCAGAGTTTGTTGTTTACATGTATATATTGATTTGAGATAGAAAAGGATAAAATACCTAAAAAAAGATAGTGTTAACTAAACAATTACATGCTAGTTTTCCAACTGAGAATATTTCACTTTTATGTCAGGCGGTGCTGCCCAGCCTCCATATCTTGGAAATTGGTTCTAGTATTTATTACTAAATCTTTTCTTAGATTAAATAACATCAAGACAGACATTTCTCCTGACACATACGTTAACACCGGATAAATGTGAACAAAATTTTAATAGAGATCTACCGGTTTCGAACCTATCTGGTTCTTCATCAGGATTCATTATTTTAATTTGATCCTGGTTTTATGATCATTGGTTTAATATTATCCTGGTTTTATCTTCATAGGTTTAATTTGATCCTGGTTGTATCTTCATTGGTTTAATTTGATCCTGGTTTTATTTTCATTATTTTAATTCGATCCTGGTTTTATGTTCATTGGTTTAATTCGATCCTGGTTTTATATTCATTGGTTTAATTTGATCCTGGTTTTATCTTCATTGGTTTAATTTGAACCTGCTTTTATTATGCTCCCCGAAAAATTTCGGGGGAGCATATAGTCGGCGCCTTGTCCGTCCGTCCGTCCGTCTGTCCGTCCGTTTTCTTGTCCGGAGCCTTACTTGAAAACCCTTGGAGATAATTTGTTTAAACTTCATACAGTGGTAGAGGGCATTGAGGGGGAGTGCAGTGTCAAAGAACCATAACTCTATTTTGCTCGGTTTTTGAATTATCTCCCCTTATAGAAAAATCTTGTCCAGGGCATAACTCTAACACTATAAGAGATATCAACATGAAACTTTGTAGGTGAATAGATCTCAATGGGTAGATGTGCAGTGCATAAGAACAATAACTCTTTTTGTCCTAATTTTGGAGTTATTGCCCTTTGTTAATTTTAACACTGAACTTTGTCCGGAACATAACTCTAAAATTATAAGAGATATCAAGATGAAACATTGTTGGTAGATAGATCTCATTGAGTAGAAGTGCAGTGCAAAAAAATCATAACTCTGTTAAGCCTCATTTTTGAATTATCTCCCCTTTTAGAAAAATCTTGTACTGGACATAGCTGTAAATCTATAAGAGATATCAACATGAAACTTTGTAGGTAGATGTATCTCAATGGGTAGATGTGCAGTGCACGAGAATCATAACTCTGCCTTGCCTAATTCTGGAGTTATTGCCATTTGTTTATTTTTACTTTTTGAATTTGTCCGGAACATAATTCGGAAACCATAAGAGATATCAACAAGAAACTTTGTAAGTCAATAGATAACAGTGATTAGAAGTGCAGTGGAAAGAACAGTAACTCTGCCTTTCCTAATTTTGGAATTATTGCATTTTGAACTTTTTCCAGGGACATAACTCTGAAACTACAAGAGGTGTACTTTCCTGTGTCCAAAACCTATTCGGGGAGCATCACCCGGCTCAAACCGGGCTCTTGTTTTAATATTTTGTAGGGGTATTTTATTTGTTAGTAGTTTGCAATCTCCCAGGTGAGATCACGCTGATTTTAGTGGATATATTTATCAACTACTTTTATAAAACAGAGGTCAAAGTTAACTTTTCTATTTTACAGCAACCCACGTTGTCAGATATGACCATGCAGGAGTTGAATTTTTCACTTCTTGTCGAGCAAATGTTGAGTAAGATAGTAGATCCAGCATATAGACAGTTGATGGTTGAAGCATTTATGGTTGTTTCCACGATCCTGAGACGAAACCCAGAACTTGTGTTCCACCAGTCAGTGAATATGGACAGGGTAAATTTGGTTCACCTATTAATATATATGCGTTTTTCCTCGCTAAAAATTGCTTACATACCATGTGATTATGTAGAGCATAGTCGGACCATGAATTTATTGTGTTTGTCTGTATGTTTATCTGTCTGTGACAAGTAAAACATTACCTGTAGCATCTTTTTGCTATCAGCTAGAGCTTTCATATCTTTACATAATATATCGCTGGACAAAGCTTAATTTTAACATATTAAGGGAGTAACAACTTTCTCAATAACCCTGTCAGTTTGGTTGACACTAAATGGTGTAGAATACTTTGAAGTTTTGGATGTCAATACCTTGTTTGATTGACAACAATTTATGTGATAAAAAAGCTAGAATCTCAAGAGTTGCTAAAATTTTATACCTTCAAAACTGAAGATAGAGAAAAAAATATTTTTGAAATTGTGTCATCGGTATATTGCAGGCAATCCAAGATGCATTTGAAGAGTTTCAGAAGGACAGGAGTAGACTTGAAGGTCATGAAAAACAAGATGACATGAGATGCTTTTTTAACACCATGCCAAATATTAAACACGGTACAACAAGCTATATAATAAAAGCTGTTGTAAAGAACTTGCTCGACGGAGACATTAAAGTATCAGTGGATGAAATGTGCACCATTTCCTGAGGATAGCTTACAAGTATAAGAATAGTTGATCAGTTCTGTTTTTGATCGGAAATTGCCATTTTCCTAACACTTGTTTTGCAAAAACTTCTCCCACAAGTTTTGTTTATTATTTCCCTAACTGTGCTCCAGTGCTGTGACGCTATTGCCAGTTTTTATCCTGTTCTGAGCAAAGCTTACCCTACATTTTGCGTTATAAAGCTTGGATATTTACAGTTCTGTGTTCCAATTGTACCAAGAAATTGGCATTTTTCCAAAACCGTTCAAAGACAGTGGATAAGTTTTCTCCCGAATATTCGATATTTACTAAGGTGTGCGCCTTTGACGTTTATGTGATTGCCATTCTTTCTGAGAGGAATATGTAAGGACTTATCCAACACGTCTCTGAAAGTAGTGCTGACATGTACACATTTATAATATATGCAAGATTTGAAAGACATGATATTGAGAACCAATATAGCATACATTTGTATTTTTTAATTGGAAAAAAAAATATATTGAAATATAAATAAAAATGTGTATCCAAAGTATATAGTTTAAAATTATATTTATTGACAGAAAAAGATATACGTGAGTACTCAGTAATTAATAAAACAGGTTTAAATATTTCCATACAAAGCCATGAATGGCGTACGACAATATTGAGGGAATGAGGGGGAATTTTTTTTATCTTAATTTATATTTATAGTATATGTCATATGTACACTATGTATTTGAAAAATTGGAAGTACACAATGTATTTGAAAAGTACATTGTATCTCATTATCTGTGATTGTTTATCTTTTTCTCATTGACAGGTATATAAAAGAAACTGTATTTCCTTTGTCATTTCGAAAGTGTTATCAGTTTAATAGCTTTACTGTATCCCATGGAATGTTCGTAATGAACTAGTCTTGTTTTGAACTTAGAACTTTCCATTGTTAATAAAAATTTAGTCCATTTATTTAAGTAAAAAACAAAATCTGCTACGTGGAGATATGTAGCTATTATGAAACAAAATGGCAAGTCTGTAACTTGAGATTTGCAAGCCCTAGCTTGTATGAGCATAGAATACAACATAACCTTCATTGCAAATGACCCTCAGAACAATATTGTGGTAATACATGCCATCATTACAATGGTTACCTATACATGCATTTATAAAAGAAGTCAAATAATGGAATAAATATGTCTGAGAGAGGAATCATTCAAGAGAAATTTATAAGGAAGACAGATGTCAAAATTTCCTTAATTTATTAGTATTTTCATTCTCGGCTACTTTTCTTGATGAGGCCGGATTTTCTTTTTATCATTTGAAGATGTAATTAAATAAATATGGTTTTAAATTCTTTTGTTGTGAATCATTGTTTTTTGTTCTCTAACCGTGCTCCTCATGTATTCGATTTGCATTTTGAACTTTTCTTGCTTTGAGTTTGGAAATAATGTAATGTATTTAGAAAGCAACAAAATGCAAAGCCACCATGATTAGAATGCACAAATTTGCTGACCTTCTCTGATCAGCATCATAAGTATTATATTTCATTTTAGATATAGATTTAATAGCTACTTTCTATCATTTAAGATTTATTTTATTAAATAATTATTTAAAGCATACAAAAAAGTAAGATGTTACTCTGTTATATTACCGATGATATTTAAACGGCCGCCAATTTTGGTCACATGATACACCTGTCACCATGTAGATTGTAGTGATGACGTCATTGGCGCGAAGGCTGATCATAGTAACTGCCTCTATTCAAAGGGTTATATTCCAGTTTGTCCAAATACAGTTCCTGTTAACCATCGAAATTTATTTGTCCTTGTAGAATGTAAACTTAAGTTTTTGTTAATAAAATGTACGATACCAAAGCAAATGTTTTGTTATCCTTTATAGTGCTACATGTACAAATTAATTGTAAAAAAGAATACTTTCATCATATATTTATACAATTTGAATATTCATCATTACTTAGCATATTTGTAGTTTTACTCCGGTGTCTGCCCGTGTCTGACGTAATGCCTTTCATAGGTATTTACAATTTGGTGTAAAATTCTACAATATGAGTACACAGAATGCAGTCTCCGACAAAATTAAGTCATACTTGATCACATGAAAAAGTTTCCAAAAATGTCGGTTGGTCTTTGACAGCAACAAAGTGTTATATGGCTTCCATTGTTTGTATTCAAATTGTTTCGCTTTGGTCTACATTCCTTTTCTCCCCACATGCTAAGTATTTTGTGAAAAAAACTTCACTTCAGTGTAAAATAAGTCTGGATAAATATAAATGAGCCGTGTCACGACAAAACCAACATAATGGGTTTGCGACCAGCAACATAATGGGTTTGCGACCAGCATGGATACAGATCAGGCTGCCCATCCGCGCAGTCTGATCAGGATCCATGCTGTTCGCTATCAGTTTCTCTACTTGCAATAGGGTTGGTAAGCGAACAGCATGGATCCTGATCAGACTGTGCGGATGGATCCATGCCGGTCGCAAACCCACTATGTTGGTTTTGTCGTGACACGGCTCAAATGTCGTTGATTGGATTCTTTCTTTTTCTATACAAGTGTAAAAAAATGTTAAGAAAGTCCACGCATAAACCCACATCAACGATAATATTCTTAACAGTACAATAATTTAGTAAAGCTATACTGTAGTAATAATAATAGATGATTATAAAGATATAAAGACTGCAAGAAACAATGTTAACACGCAACACTTTATATCCCTATCAAATATACTGGGTATTCAAGTGCATTATAACACGATATATGCAAGTCAAAAGACGTCAACTTATTATATATGACGTCAATACTCCTAAAGACATCAGAAAAAATAGTTCCCAGGTTAATGTAGTTCAACATATAATTTTATTAGTTCTCTTTCTAGCAACTATTAGCATTTTTTAAAATGAAATAGATATTAATTTTTCTTCAGCTGCTGTACAATAATGCATGATTTATCGTAATTAAACACTGAGGCCTACCATCGCTCTTGATTATTACATTCAAGAGCATTTGAACTCAATTTTTCTATAGCAAAGCACTCAAAATTGATGAAATCATATTGTATTAAAGACCTATCCCTTTACAAAAAAGCATATTAAATAGTAACATTTCATGAAATATTATAAAGTATTATCTTTATGATGAATATTTTGATGATATATGGGATGATAATTTGATGAGCGAAGTGATAATGATGACAATGATGATAGAGGTGTTCACGCTTTTTGAAACGTACTACACGTACCTGTTTTACGCGCTTTCGCTCCATTTCAACATAAGATTAAGCCAATAATTCTATAAATCTTTAAAAATACTCGTCTGAAGTAGAACTGGTTAACTTGCATAATTTTATGTTATTTCGAAGTTTCCCATACGTATAGAAAAATGTCAGCAATGCTTGTATAATAATACATATTATTTCTTATTAATCTTTATTAAGGGTAACTAATCTTGAGAAATGTGACACTAAGATTTATGTGTCGTGTTTCGGACTTCATTTATGACACCAACATCTACGCAGTCAGGAGGCAATTATTTTTATAAATACCTGATTGGATTAAACATATTTATTTAAGCTCGACTGCGAAACAATTTCTTGCAACTTATATTAATCACTTTCGAGTCCGCTTCCTGGAACCAACCAGTACTGGTGTCATATGAAGAAACATGTTTGTGACCCGAGTAGCTGATTAATATGCAAAGAAAATATATGAAATTATAAACATTATATCAGTTGAGCACATCAATGATCATATTATATATTAGACACTTTTTGAACATCATAACCTGAGGGTACCTGATACGTTAGGATTTTTGGTAAGCTCTTCGATATTTTCATGTGCATGAGTAAACTTGCAGGATCGCGAGCGTTATTAAAGTAGAACACCCCTAATGGGCACTAAAAGGAACTGTAAAATTGACATCATAGGACAGTTATATGCCTTAAAGTCCACCTGTATGCAAAATTCAAACAAAATTTACCTTGTGGTTTGTGAGTTATGGACATTTATCTGAACTAAAACATTGCTATTACAAGGGCTTTTTCAGAAATGAGGACACTCTAAATATTCTATAATATCATCATTTTGAAAAATGTTTTCCTATTGCTCATTGTTAAGAAACAAATAATGACTTTAGGTAACAAATTAAAGAAGCAAAATGATTGTTTTTAAAGCAGATGTTTTTAATATGTATAAAAATGCAACACAATCCCACCCACTTTTAACACTTATTTGACAATTTCCCTATGTAAAAATCCTTATTTAAAATATCCCTTAAATTTTCCACAATGAGGTGCTGTTTTCAAAGTTTGCTTAAATTTTCTTAAATGATTATTAGTTGGTCTTGCAAAATATAAAATACTTTTACCGTGTAGTTTTTATTTTATTAAACTTTGAAAAATCTGTATTAAATTTGGCATAATTTAGTAAATAATTACCTACAATAATAATATAATTAAAATAAAACACTTTTTTCTTACATTAAGGATCTGAGAGATTAATAAAAAATGTTAAAATGAAGAAAAAAGAAAGAAAAAAAGTTGCCCCTCAAGTGGGTCGAACCCACGCCCCTCAGTTTCAATACACTTTACAGTGATTGTAGCCTATTTGAAGTGGAGATAGTGCATTAGGGGTTTACTACCTTAATTGGTGGTCTCGTGATTTTCGACAAAATTTATAACTTTTTTTAAATTCGATTTGAAAGACCCTCCAAAGTATTTTTTTAATATACACCTATAGAAAACTGAATATAATTTATTGTTATGTGTTCTTTATCATGAAATGGGAACTGTTGATTTATTACATCCACAGCAAATGAGATAAAACATTTTCAAGTTCACCAAAATAAGATAAACCATTTATACTTTGTGTTTATTTGTGAAACTAAGATTAAAACAAATAAAAATCTATTTATATTTCTATTTGGCAAATCAAATCACAGTCGTGAATTATATACCTGCAATTCATGATAAGATTAGAAAAAAAAATACAGCCGACTTGGCCACGGTTAACTTTCTCTGTGTATTACGATGTTTACGGAATTTGTGTTGCATGATACTTTCGAGTGTATTTGATGATAAGTTTGATAAGTTTATTTTGAATATTCCATAAGGCTATATAGCCCATGAGGATATACAATGTATTATAATATGGCAAGACAGTATACAGCATAAATGTACAAAACAATTTAAACAACGAAGAAGGTTTACCAATAATTAAATGTCTTCCTAATTAGTGTATAACATCAGATATTCTTACCGAATTCCTCTTGGGTATAAATTTAATTTTACAATGAGAATTTTTTTTCAGATATACATTTGTATTTAGAACAAGATATCTACGCTTCTTTCAATCGAAATTATATCATGGTGTTTGCCGTTTGACAAAGTACAAGATAGTATAGAGTTCTGCTTTCGAGTGTACTTTATTTCGTTTGACAAAGTACAAGATGCAAGGTGAACGACTTTCCAACTGTTTTTCTAAATGACCAAAAAGTATGCGAAAAATCGAGCCTTTATTTAATATTCTCTAAATATGAAGAGCAGAATAAATTGCGAAATAAAATATAAGATATATCGTAATAATTAGCGAGCATGTCTAACAACAATCTGCAAAAATGATTTGCAATAAATGTTGTAAAGGTTACATAAATATGTAAGACAATAACATTAATTGATCAAAAAAGTAAACTTTAAACAGCTACTTATTCTGCCTTTAAACTACTAGTATACACTTGTATTCGAGTATGTGTGAGCAATACTTTACAGCCGTATTGCACTATTCAGCATAATAATTAATATATCGAAAAACAAAGAAAGGAAAAATGAAGTTCACAAAATTCAAGTGCGAGATAGTTTATAAGATTATCATATCAAACTATACATTCGTGACTGTTCTGTAGTTTTAGGATTTAAAAAAAAATATTTTAGATGCATGTAATTTACCTTTTTGATGTAATGTTTGTTTTTAAAAAAGAAAAGCAGAGCACTATTATCAACAACTACTTTTTCTGCAACAGGTCAAATGTTCATGATCAAATTAAAATACAAACAAAAGATTAAACCTGTTTGCGAATCCCAAATATTTGCATCACACATTATGTGTCCAATTGGAAAACTTGTGGGGATGGCACAAACAAATTTTTCAGAAATCACTTTATTGATTTTAGAACAAAGGTACAAGAATAGCATTGATGCAAAGCATCAAAGGGCGTCCAAGCAAGAAATGCAGCAAGTGAAGATGAACTAGTAGACATCTGATGACCAGATATTCTTATAAACTTTTCAATCTTTAATTGGTTTTTACCAGAATTGTATAATATTTATGAATGGCCGGACGAAAGACATAATATGTTTGCATTTCCTTTCCTGCAAAATTATCCAGTTCGTTATTTATTACGATGTCCGTTTCGTTAAACTAAAACTACTTCTATAAATAGATTTTCGGACTTTCACAATGTTAAAGTCATCATTCTATTTATAGGTACAGCAATACATAATAACCCATTGCGTATTAATAAAATAAAAAACGAAAATTTATTGACGGATAAGATAATTTCATTTGAATATGTTTGCATTGCGAAATTTTCCAGTTCGCTATTAATTGCACATATCGCGACATTTCATTTTTTGTTAATCGCCCTCATACCAATCGGAATGATCGGCTATTATGACCGAAGAAAAGGCCCGAGAAGTTGCAATTGCCCTTTCACAAAATATGATTTCATTCCATAAGGGGCGTCGCGCTTCGGCGCGGACGCCTTTAAGAACATAAATTCAAAGCCAGTAGTTAAGTTTCAAAAAAACATTGTAGAGGTTTGGTTTTTATCACAAAAATAATCATATTTTATGAGTTGTCAAAACATTTGCGACTTTAGTTATCTTTATTTAAACAGTATGTTAAAGAGAACATAAATCCTTACTTGATAGCAAAGGCAAATAATAAACACCGTTAAAGGTATATATTGATCAGAGATATTGATCTATGTTTTGTTTACTTAATATATAAGAGAATATAACTTTACTTTAGAGAATTAACCATTTTAGGAATTAATCATCAACGAATGCATAAATAATAAATATTTGGATCTGCTTTTTTTTTTACTGAAATACCTACAATGGTAGAGGAAAGACCCCTGGACAGACCGTGGTTGACTTTTTTTGTGTTTGTTACTTCTTTTGTGGGATTTGTATTGGAAGTGATTGCTTTCGCATATCTATTCCTAGGGTTGTGTGAAAACGTTCCAGATGATAGGGCATATTGTAAAGTGGATAACGACTCTTTGCATGATGATGACGATAGCAATGACGAGTCAGAAGGTAACATTGCCTCTTGCATATCAGACTGATGTTTTCATAAGTTTTACCCATTACCATGCCGGAAATTTCATCTGGCATAGGAGTGGGGTGCCAGATGAGTCGCGTGCTTTTTATGAATAAACAACGTTGTAATGACGTCATTTTGGCGCATTTTAGAATCGAATGTGCCTAAGATGACGTCATTCTGCCGCCATGAATGAGCTTGTAAATTCATAAGCTATTTTAAGAGAAAAAGTTACTGATGAAATATCCTTAATTTTTATTTTAGTGGAAATTAAATTGTACAAAGTTAACCATTTAAAATATGATAGAATACGGTAGAATATGCAAAAAAATCGACATGCAACAGAATATCCGCCTTCTGTGCTGTAATGAAGCCTTTTGTCCGCCCAATTGGCGCGTACCCTGGGGACTTAACCACAACATATATTATCAATCTAAAACTAATTTGATTTTTTACACAGTTATGCTTTTGTTTGTTTTGTTTGTTTTTTTTTGTTTTTTTTTTAATCAAGATTGTAGAATGCGACTCTTCAGCTGTTGTTGCATGTATAACACTGATTTTAAGTACGACATTAACATTGTCAGAAAATCAAAATATAGATTCTTTAATTGTAGAAAAAATAATATTTTACATATGAATATATATATATATATATATATATATATATATATATATATATATATATATATATATATATATATATATATATATATATATATATATATATATATATATATATATATATATATATATATATATATATATATATATATATATATATATAGAAAGTTGGGATTATATCGACGATATTGTTGTCAAATTGAATATTTTTTAAACAATCATTAGTTAATGTTTTGAAAGCAATAAATTGAAGATTGTCTTTACTCTTCATGGCATCATAAAATCATGACGTCACAATGGTTATCTTAACATTCTCGAATTCATTTGCAAATTTGTTTGTATATACGCGCCTTCAATAATATTAACACTCACTAGGATATATAAGTCTAAATATATCAATATTTCAGGGTTCTTTTTGCATTATCAAATGAAACATAATACTTTTGGCATTATAAGACAGCATCTTTTTTAGTTTATTCTCTTTTTTGCATCAATGGTGTACTTTCCTGTATTCTGACATACGGATCGTATCAATATATATTCAGGGAAATATACATACAATAATGTGAAATATGGAATTGATGCAGGCTCGGTTTTGATTGACCCTGCCCATGGAACACCTTATATATTGTCACATGTATCAACATAAACACACACACAAAAAAGAGATCTTGCAGGGATACCATCTAATCCAGTGCCTTTGTTCAATCATGTTAAGCCTACACAATTCTTTATATCCATTTTCTCACTGACATTGTGGATTTTGGTCCGGTCCTATAAAAATTTTTTATAGTATTAGATGCTACACTAAACAAATATTTTGCTGCCGAGAGTTTCTGGCCAAATCGGCAAAGCTGAAAATGCTGCATGCTCGGTTTGTTTGATTGATACTGTTCATGGATAGCACCGGAAAGCGTAAGCCACCCTCAACACACCCCAGCGCCGTCTGTAGCAGAATTATACTTCCTTACATGGAAATGTAGATATCTTAAATCAATAAACATCCGGAGATGTGTTTATACTGCGGTTATCATGGAATCTTCAACGTGACACGTTTTGGCCATTCTATAACTGTTTCCAAGTAACAGAATGCTTGTGCCCTTAACGAGAAAATAATGGGCGAAACTACGTAAAGGAATTCTGCAAGAGGATCAGAGGATTATGAAATATGAAAATCAAGATCAACAAGAAAGGGCGGCGTTCAATGAGCGTAACACCCACACGATCCAGCAACACAGGACCACCGGCATTGGGCAAAGCAGGACCCCATGAAAAAACAGGACATAGCAAGGTTGTCACTGGCAAAACGCCAAAACATTTTAAAATGTTGACAACATATCCTATACGTGATAAGCCTATACAGTATTCTAGTAGGAATACTGGAACCACACAATTAGATAAGGTTCCAATAGAAGGACACACATGCACACACAACAGTAATGTCGCGCTGAACGATCTTCAAGGATAAAAATGTAACATCTTGGAAACTTTTTATGTCCTAACACGGCACAAACTCCACATCTCTTATTTTATTTAGAGAAATTTTTATGCGTTTATTAAAATATCGATGACAATTACTTGGATTTTTAAAAATCTTTCTTGAACAAAAAAGTCATTAAATTATCGCTTATTCCAATAGAAATAACCGATGACTGAGATAATATAATTTATAATCGAAGGATATTTTTTATATATGTACAGTTAAATGAAGGTCTTATAAAAGATGAAATTCTTAGATTCTATATTAACCAATAAAAATATATTAGAGATAATGATAACGATAAAATAGACCGCCCAAAACAGACACAATTAAAAATGTTGCAGATTCGGTTTTTATTGAGCCTTTTCATGGACGGTAACGGAAAGTGGAAGCTACCACCCACGCCCCCTAGCACTGGTTTAAGCAGAATTCAACATTGAAAAATGAAAATGGTGCACTTTGAATTTTAAAAAACATTGGCAGACTTGTTCATACGGCGGTTATCATAGAACCTTCAATGTGACACTTTCGTGCCATTCCTGGACAATCGGCGTATGGTCCCCAAATAAAAGAATGCTTGAGTCCTAAACGAGAAAACAATGGGCGGAACTAAACAAAATAGAATTTTGAAAGATCAGTATCAGAAGGGGAAAAATACTCATAATTATATTAAAAACCTTTGTTTTTTTTTTTATTTTAAAATAGATAGAAGTGCGATGACTAAATAACAATTGAAACTGTGGCAGGTTCAGTTTGACTCGGCCTGTTCATAGACGATACTGGAATCTTCAATGTGAAATTTCTTTTTCATTCCGTAAAAAGCGGCGTATACTCCCAAAGTAAAAGAAGACGCGTACCCTAAACAAGAAACTAATAGGCGGAACTAAACAAAACGGAGTTTTTAAAAGGGATGTAACAGAAAAGACGTCAAAAGACAAAGTTAAAATCAGGCTACATATCTCAAGGGTAATTATACAGTATTCAAGTAGGAATATCGGTACCACCCAAGTTGAAACGGTCAAATTGAAGAAATTAAAAATACCACTAATATGTATACACAACAGAAATGCCGTGCTGATCTTCAAAGATCACAATATAACTTCTTTGATTATATTTAAGGGCTAATTTTTACGGCTTCCACACGGCACAAATGACACTGATGTGACAATAAAATAGAGAAAATCGGAATGCCTAAAACAACAAAATCGAAAATGTCGAATGTGGAAGGTACTCGAAAGTGTTAGTTAAAGTTCACGGCCCCTTGCATTTGCTTAAGCATACTCGTAATATAGCATTTTAACACAAAATATGGCGAAATCTTGAATTTAGAAACATCCTCAGATGAGTTCATACGGCAGTTATCATGGAACCTTAACATTGAGTAAAATGAGCTTAAACTTTCGAAAAATAATAATTCCAGTCCCATCTTGTCAAAATACCTTAGTGAAGTACTTTTAATATCTGTTTCTGGACATGATTATTCCGTGGAATCAAACTTTAAAATTAAAATATTTTTGCAGGTGTACTATCTTACAGAGGGTATCACCTTTTTGTAGGAGTTACAGTTTTTTTAGAACTTTTCGCTGTCATCAAGGTAAGCTGCAAAATCTACTGCTGTGTTAAAAATGTATGGGTGCCTCGTTGTGCAAAGACGTGGCGATGTTGCTATTGTTGTGGAAATTATTGGTTTGTCATGGCAGGTCTAGGTGGTAAGTGTGGTAGATGTGTTGAATACATAAACCCGTTTTAATGAATTTTATTTCTAAGAGATATTGTATTTTCTCACTATCTCTGAATCTATGTAAATCTATGTGTACATTAAAAATGTCATATTGGACAAATGTGATCCATCGGAAGCATTAATCACAAAAATATTAAATGAAAAGTGCACACTCGGCTTGAGTCTAAACATGGTGGATTATGAGAAAGTGCAACATCATTCACGCCTCTAGCACCTAATATTTTTATGGAAATATAATAATAATAAGTTTTTTATATGAATGAAATACACACATTATACAATTGGTGGTCTTGTTTTCGCATGCAATAATATACACGTAGTTAGATTATAGAAAACCTATCACTATCTACCAACATTTCGTTTTTCTAAAGATTTTTCAATTTTTAAGTAATACATTTGTATTGTAATTTAAATGGTTTAAATATTTGCTTTAGTGTTTTTTTTATTTCAAATTGCACTATATGAACAGACTAAAACAAACATTAGTCTCCAATTTTCATTTCTTACATTTATTCTAATGCGCCGCCGTAGTTCTTTTTTCTGAATTAAAAATACAGAAAGATACATGTATGATTATATAAAATAATATCTGTTTTGCTAGAAAAATATTATATATATCCGATATGCAGTTAGTGCATTTTTTCTGACTTTCAGTTTGTCTCAATATACTTTGCATAATTTCTGTGTGTATGGCAGTCCCATTTAGTGACATGATGGATTATATTGTCGGCTTCAGGATTGTTTTTGCGAACGTTTGGTTTGGATTTGTAAAGGTAAGTAACGAAGAAGTTTATGGTTTCTTCGTTTTTGTGGCATCACTATATCGTTATATCTGTACGACACATTCTAATCCAAATTGCACTTTCAAGTCTATCGGCTCGATAACAAGAAAAAGGTTATTATAACGTATTTTGTGTCTCTTGGGTATGATTTGTTACATTGCTATAGACATAATTAAAAGAACTGAAATACCCTGACACGTTGAGTTTTTAGTGTTGTATAAGAGACAACTATTTAAAGGATATGAATTAAATAATCGACAATAATGTGCAGTCAGACATGACCATCGAATAGAACCATTGTAATAACGGGAATGGTACAATGGCGGAGAGGGTATGTATGTATGTCACGTTTATGGTTTATAGATCCTCTACTTTACCAGTTTCATATTTATATACTGAATCTGCATAGGATCGGTGCATTGTCAACTCCCACCCTACAACGTTTCGTATTCTGTTAGGCCTGTCACATAAAGATAAAAGAAATGAAAATGAAAGCGGCAATACTTATATAACTTTGAAAAATGTAGAACGAGGTCTTTGGTCCTTTGAATGTGACACTTCCTTTAGAGACAAACATGTGAAAAGTTTGATTGTTCTATACATGTGTATTTAGGGAAGTCTTGAAATAGAATTCTCACTAACCAGATAGAAAAATCCATAAATGTTACTAAAATAGCGGTGTTGGAAAATCTTATCTCACATGGGAATGGGCTTTCCAGATTTTTATACAGCACTTCTAAAAACGTATTCCTACACATACGCGATTCACTCCTATTTTAACAAAAATGAAACGTCAAAAGGTCAAAATGTATTTAAAATATGTGAGCTAATCTATTAAATTGTCCACGGAATCAAAATAGATTGATATTAACTTTCACACTGCAATAAGTCCTACTCTACCTAGGTCCGCCCTTTGCAATATCGATTTATAAACAAAAAATAACACACTTTAAAATATCGCAAAATTCTTCGTAAAATCGGATATTATGACACTTTGCCTGAAGAACATCCATGTTTTCTGTTATGATAACGATGCTTCTTGATGACGAATCTCATTTTGATATATTCTAATTGAATATTCGGCCAAAATAACCGAATAAGTAGAAAAATCTTTGCAAAACAGTAAACGCTTTTGGCAAACATTAAACCACTGAATTCCTTATAAACACTTATATTATGACACATTCCGACTTTAATATTGATGTGTTTTATCATGAAAACCTTGCTTTTTGATGATGGATGTCATATGAATTTATTTTCATTGAATTTTTCACACATAAACTTGGTCAATAGAATTTTATGCGGACGTACGTCAGGCCCGCTTTTCAAATTAGGTGCGTAGCAAGCAGTTTCACTGATATTTATCGTGTCCCGGTGAGTGTGAAAAATAACCAATCATTGGGTTAGATAGAGGATATTGAAATCCCAACCCTCGGGTAGGGATTTCCCTATCCTATATCTAACCCAATGATAGTTTCTATTAATCAAAATGTGACACATATTTCAACATGCATATCAAATGGTTTTATGAAACTATTTTTTTTTCAGCTCACTATTTGGACCGCTTACTCGGTATATAGAAAAAGCTGTTGCCCGGATCAGGCGTATTTCCTCGGATCAAATAGAAGTTTGTCAACCTGCGGGATAATGACAATACATGTATCAGCAGAAGTTAATGCTACGAGAAGACCAGACGGTATGGAGGTGACAGTTGATAAATTGGAAACAATGAGAATAGAAAAGATTTAGTACGTTTTGTGTATCGGGCACTATTGATTAATTTGGCTATTACATATTTAGTGCAAGTACACTGTTTATAAGCTTTTTAGCCAGGTAATGGCATGTTCAGTACCAATACATGTTTTGTGCCTTTATATATTTGTATATTGATTTATATTGATTTTGTTTACAGTGCATCAACATTGTTAAGGTCAATTGGTGAAATTCCAGCATAACTGTTGGAGGAAGACTTCAGGTGCCCCTCTGTGTATTATTAAGACACAGCGGGCACCTTAGCATAACCATCTACTTTTCCTTACATGAAATATTCTTAATTTCCTGTCATGATTTGAACCCACAGCGGTGAGGGGCAAGTTGTTTGCATTCAACGACTTTATCCACTCTGTCAAAGACGCATCTCCCATGTTGATATGTCCCAATGTGTTTCAAAGGGTGAAAGTGCCATAATCTGTGGGTTTTTCTCTCTCTTTTTTTGTTTGGTAGAGGTAAAGTAAAAATTTGAATAACTTTTTTATATGTCATGATAACTGCGCAATGTATATCTGCGATTGTCTTTTTTTTTCTTTATTTTTTAAATTGACGGAGATTGTATAAATTTCAATTCTAAAGAGAAATAAGAATTTCAAAATTTTAATCATTGTATCAGTAAAATGATACATTTTTGTACCATATTGAATGTCTGTATTGTACTAGTCTTGTTTTGACTTAATGTTATAGAAGTACTGGAAAACGATTTTATTTAATTTAGAAAACACACAAGTCAAGTCGATTTTTTATGAAACCAACAGAAAGCAGTTTCTAGACTCCGTTATATTTTGGCAGAGATTTTCAGACAGGTCTTTGTCACTGACAAAATGAAAAGGCCAAACTCACCGCAGCGGTTACGTCCTCAGATCAGTATAGCAATTTAATCATTACCACAAGTAAAAGGTGACCGTCTCAGACCTGAGTATATTTTTTTTCACTTTTAATTTTAAATTAAATAGTTACTTTCTCGCACTTAAGATTTATTTCATTTAGTAAAAAAAAATATTTAAGTTCGATTGCGAAACAAGTTCATGCAAATTATGTAAACCATTTTTCGTGTCCACTCACCTGATCAAGAAATGCTAAAGTGTCAATGGCTGTACATGTTTTGGACTTGTAAACACCCTGGTCGTCTCTATATGACAAAATTTTCATTAAATTCTTGCAAGAGTGTTTCAGTCTTAGATAATACGAATTATCAAGATGGGGAAAAACTTTGAGATCAGGTGAATCGATTTAAAACCATGTTAGCAAGCCCGAAACCACATTGTTATAAATGCTTAATACAGTTGCGCATGTGTCTATTTTGATGACGTTTAATATCAGCTGCAAATATAGATGATATCAAAAATGACGAGTTTTTGCAGAAACATCTCGAGATGTTGCCCAAGCCAGTGTCTTATCCCCGTAACTAACGAGTTACATTTATTATAACTTTTCTATCGCAAAGTCATAATTTTTTAACAGAAATCAGCAAAATATTATCATGTTCACTGCTTTTTCCTCTGTTTTTATTTCGTTTCAATATTTTATATGTAAACCCTAGAAATAATGACCAATACTATCTAATTAATCTTTGTTTTTGCAACTGGAAATGTGTGATACCCCCAAATTCAATATGTGTTAAAAACGCACTGATACATACAACGTGCAAAAGATACTTAACTGTTATATTTTATTTTCCTATATGAAAAAAAAACGAAACAAAAAACTATACTGTTATATATCAATACAGTTTTTAAATCCACACTGAAAGTTAGTAAGAACAAAGAGAAGGTTCCTAACCATGCGATAAGTCAAATCATGGCTAATTTTGTTGAAATTATTATGATGAATTCACATAGTATTACTTTGTATTTGATTAGATCTCCTGCTCACTTTGTTGAAATGCTGTTTCATTGATAACACAGAGTCTGATTCGAACGTTCGTTATCTGAGTCAAATAAATACAAATGACATAAATTATAACAAATTTTAAATTTATATTTTATTATAGATGTAACTCACATTCTATTGAGCAAGTGATAAAAGTTATCCAATGTCAACTTTAGGATAGAACTAATATAAAAAAAAGGTTTAAAACGGAAGTGCACGTTTGTGTTTATATAAATCTTTACAAGCATATATCATCAATAGTAGTTTGAAATTTGCGGTTTTACCAAAAAAAAAAAAAAAATAAATAAAAAGAGAAGTTTGTTTAATCTTATGTTTTTTCCCCAAAATCAGAATACAAGTTTTCACTAAGGTGAAGAATACAATGACAGTCAATGTCCTCTTGCTTCAGCGCTATGTAACACCGCACTTTGGGGTCAAACGCACTTTGGGGTCCGACCCCAAAGTGCGTTAAACTTCGCACCGCACTTTGGGGTCAAACGCACTTTGGGATCAAAATCGAGAACTTGACCCCAAAGTGCGTTAATATGCTACATATCAACGCACTTTGGGTTCAAGAGGTCTAAAGGTGTCATCTGAGGTCTGCTTAAATACTGAGTACTGACTTATTTTCTATCTGCGACATTGGAATATTTGAGTTGGAGTTGAAGATGGCGGTCAATACTTTATGATGCTTAAGTGATAAAAGTTTCATTAATGTTACCACTTGAAATATCTAAAAATTGTGTTCATATAACAAAATTACGGTGGCATAAAAGTGACATTTGCATTTTTTTGTTTTTAGTTTTGTATACATATTTTATTTTAGTTTTGCATACATATTTTTTCAGTTTTGCATTCATATTTTATTTTTGTTTTTCGTACATATGTTATTTTTGTTTTTCATACATATTTTAGCCAATCAAAACAGCCTTCAAATCTCAGCCCATAGATGAGTATACTAATTTACATATGGCGAAGTGTTTGAAGTTATTCTGAAGCTCCGCTCTTAATGTGCGACTACTTAAATAGTTGACATTTTTAGTTCTGCCTGTACGGACTACTACTTAAAGCCGCATCTACACCTAGTCAAGTTTCTTATATGTCACATTTAGCTAAACAAATGGCCCTTTCAACATATTATCAGGCACATTTTTTACTGAAATGTCTTACTAAGATTTCCCAGAATTTATACCTTTGTCTATGCTAAGACTATCATATCTTAAAAATGTGTAAATAAAAAACGGGAAAATAATGCATTTAGCTAAAAACAATGGAGTTAATGAAAGGTGTACATTCTTTTAAAATAAATGGAAAATTTGAGAAAAAATATTTTAAGCTTAACAATTGATACAAATTCTTTCATTTGGTGATTTATTTGGTGAAAGTTCTTCACTTACTAATCAAGATCATTTAAATCCCTATTGATTCTACTATAATTCAGGGCACATGTTTGTGTCTATTTAATGCCTTGATTTTTTTGTTTACCATTGGCTTTGACTACAATATATTATTTAAAACATAATGAACTTTAATTTTCTATGACCCCAAAGTGCGGTCGTTTGCCTGATGTAAAAAAATGCATATGTACCTGTTTAACGCACTTTGGGGTAGAAATTGGACCCCAAAGTGCGTAACGCACTATGGGGTCCGACCCCAAAGTACGTAACGCACTTTTGGGTCCGACCCCAAAGTGCGTTTGACCCCAAAGTGCGGTGTTACAGCGCTTTTTAGACACTGATTGTAATATTTGTATCCTATTGTGGTAGTCAATAAGTATTTTATAGTTATTTACTGTTATGTTTAACGGAAACACAACTGATGGAATTAAACATTATAAAAATATAAATAAGCACAGCATCGGGAAGTAAAATTCATGGGGGTGGATATCAAAGTTGTGTGAAAATATCACGCTTTATAGATGACTGTATACCATTTAGTGAGAGGGTGAACAATGTGTGTCTATAAATAGACAGTTTCACTTTGATTTGGATAAGGAAGAAAAATGTGTGTATAAAGAGAGGTATCAAAACACATAATTTCTTTCAACCCTTTGTTCGAAAGAAAAATGTAATTAACAAAGGCCAAAAAAACATTTCGTCCGTCGATATGCATCTTTTCATGAATACGTGTAAAATTTCATACACTGTATGGTATAAATTCACTGTACTGGATTGAAATAGATCGAGGATTTAATTAAAGATTATCGTATAAAAATCAGAAGAATGTCCGAATCTGAGGTACCTCCGAACAGACCTTTGTTAACATTATCTGTGCTTGGTTCATGTCTAGTAGGAGTTGTTGTGCAGCTGCTTGCTTTTATATACCTATTTCAAGATTTGTGTGATAATGTTCCCGACGACAGGGAGTATTGTAAAATCATTACAGACAATAGCACTGATAATATAAACAAAACTGATAATGTTACCGGAGATCCTATAGGTAAGGTTATCTCATTATTGTATATTTGTTGATGGATTAGATTTTACTGATGGATGGACAGCAATTAAAACATTTGATGTAAAAAATGAGACATACGACATTTGACTAACACGAACATTTAAGAATAAATAAATGTACACGATTTTTATTTGTGACTACAATGGTAAACATAATGGTGTTGGAAGCAATGGGGGAAATGCATGTATATTGTCTCGATGTTCCATGTAGATAACATATTGTAATTCATAAAATGGTTATTTATTGTCAAACAAGAGGACTTGCTTTCTTAATGGATTCCTATTTTCTCTATTCGTTCAAAATTACTTTGAACGTACCTGTAGGAAAATCTGCATGGAAATAGATGTCTCATTTCAACCAGTCGCACCGTCTCATTCATGGTGACAATGATTATGATAATGTTAAATTAGATACCCAACAAACTGAAAATAGCAAATCAGTAGCAATGATTATTTTTAAGGGTAATGGATCATTTTACAAGATTTGGCGAGTGATATTTTTTTCAAGATATGTTTTATTAATAAATAAATTAATGATGATATTAAGACTGTGTATGAATGTGCAACAAATTCTTTTCTTGCTTTTAGGTTATTGCATGATGGCTCTTCTTTAAAGTCTAATATAATTGCTGAGCATTAAACATATTTTATCAGTTTTTAAGTTGAATTCAATCATGATTTTATTTGGTTAGATATTTGAGAAGTTTGACCTAGTAAAGTCAACACAATATATGAATGTAATTGCAAGATTATTAGGATATTAATACAGTGATTTGTTAGGACAAAAATAACATTTTTTTGAAATAACATGTTGTTGTATCAATTGTATAGGTCTTCCTTACTACAGAGGATACCGGTCAGTTGTAGGGGTCGTGTTATTCACTGAAATCTTTACTATCTTAAAAGTAAGCTGTAAAATCTACTGCTGTGTTAAACTTGCTGTCTGTATATATCCGAAGTGTTTTGGTGTCTGGGAAGACTGTCGTTGCTGTGGAAAATGTTGGTATGTCATGGCGACAGTAAATGGTGGGTAGTTATAAAATAAAAGTCAATGTTTAATTGTAGATAAGCATAAGTCATTTGAACTGTTATGAAAAGTATACAATAGAAATATTTAATCATTTTCGTCATATTCCGAATTGTATATTTATGAGAAAATGGCAAGCATGCGCACCAGCTAAAACTTGCTGTGACAAAACAAAACATAAGAAAAGTCTAATACTAATTACAAGGAGGTGAAACTAGTAGTAAGGGAGTCTATTGTTTGCCTGTATTGATTATGACTATCTCTACATTTGTTCCTATGATCAAGGAATGGTCTGAAAATTTCATAGAATTGTCGCTCTGAATATATTGTAATGATTGTCACAGGTAATATATATCAGGACAATAGGGTCCTTACATGAATGTACGAACAATCCTAGCGACAACTGCAAGAAATGGGCAGGACTTAACAGAATGTACTTGGATATCGTCATATATGAGCTTTTAAATCCTCTCTACATTTTGATAAAATGTTTTAACATTCTTTTGCATATTAAGCAGATGATTTTCCTCAGACTTAGTATATAAAGTATATGATATAGTATATGGTTAAGATTTTTGTTGATTGAAGAGAATGACTGATGGTCCACGGTCTGTTTCGTACCTGATTGCCACCTTCTTTGCGCCATTTTCCCGCGCTTTATTGCACACAATGCATTACTGTGTTTTGTTTTAAAATGATAAAGTAATATCTTCACACCTACAATTTATAAATCATACAATATTATGACATTTGCCATTAATTTATTTATTTATGTGTTCCTTAGTCAATAATTGGTTATTATGCGTGTTACAATAATGTTATTTTCCCTTTTTATTGATCTGTGCTGTCACTAAGAATTTACTCTACTTTAATTATAATAAGTTCGTTCTACATATTGCTTACTTGATATACAGGAGAATAAAGCCTTGCTTATATAAATGTTACACTGGGCTAGCGCCAGTGGCAATGTAAACTTATTGCTGTCAGTCTATGCTCTCGAGTTATGTTCCGTCAGCAAGTTGCATAACTAATTTGTTTTGCTACAAAATCATGTTATCAATTTTATATAGCAATTAATGCATGCGCATTGTTTCTGACTTTCAGTTGTGTTCAATATACTTGGTATAATTTCTGTGTGTATGGCAGTCCCATTCAGTGATATGATGAATTATATTGTTGGATTTAGACTTGGATTTGGAAACACTTTGTTTGGAGTGGTAAAGGTGAAAAATTTGAATATATGTTACCTGAAGTAATATAACCAGACTTTTCAATGGAAAAGATAACATTATCGGTTAAATCCATAAATTCATAATTTGCTTTCACAAATATATAAGATAATTGAACAGGCCGTCAAATTGGTGATTTAGACTTTAGATAAATTCATATTGTCATGTTTGATTATGACTTAACAATACTGAACTGAGTTGAATGACTACTGTCTAATTAACTTATCTTTCAAAGATGTCAATCTGTATTATGACATAAACCTTTATATAATGCCTTTTTTGTTTTTACAAACCCCGAAGTTTTGGTCTACAAATAGGATTTAATATTAGATTATGTAGGTATTTTGCATTCGAAATTTGTCCATGTCAAAGTCCTTTTGAATTGGCAATCACACACTTACACGGGCTTTACCAGCAAATCTTACAAAAAAATAACATATTTTTTATTAAAATATTTTCCCGACAATTTCATAAATGAGTATGCTGATAATTCAAGGTACAATGTCATTATTTCAGCTTGCATGTTGGACCGGATATTCAGTATACAGACACAGTTGTTGCCCAGACTCTGGATATTTTCTGGGATCAAACCGGAGGCTGTCAGGATGTAAAATAACTGTAACAGTTGTACACGAGACAGTAACAACCATACGTACAATTTAGTTGTTTATAATCAGACTGAATTTCCTTCAACTCTGAAATTTAATTTGTAACAAATAATGGTGTTTTAAATATATTTTCTCAGTATCTTCTATCACAGTCGACAGTTGTTCACATGCCTATCTATCTGTCCATGTCATCCTTGGTCAATATTTCGAAAGCTGTGTATTGTAGAAAGTGATAGTTACAAGCAAACGACATCAGAGATCCGTCTTATATGCGACATGACTTTTTGGACACACACATTCATTTACTTTGGCATATACGCCACATTTCATGGAATAGCACTGACGTAACGTGTCACATTGAAGGCTCCATGATAAATGCCATATGAACACATCTGTGGAGGTTTCTACATTCATTCTGTTTTCCTGATGACGTTTAAATTCAGCTGCAAATATAAAATACTTATTTCAAATATTATATAGAAAAAAAACTTTTAGCATTAGAGGTTAAAATATTGGTTCAACAAACTTTGTTAAAATGCTTGTTTTATTAGAATCTTAGTCGGGTTGCTACAGGGGTCAATAAAATTGCCATAAGTTCAAATGGAAATCCTTTTAACAGACCAAGTTGATACTCTATTAAGAATGTAAGGTTTGTAAATATATGATATTTGGTCAAAGATTTGGTCATTAGGCCAAATAGTACTATAAATATCAAGAAGTCCGTTTTGATTTTAGATTAATAACCTAGATTTACAAGGGGACAAAAATTAGGTTACCAGGCCAAATCACAGGTACGTTTTCCTTAACATAGTATTGACATACTTCACACGTTGTAAAATGTTGTTTCATTGATATCTCGACCAGATTCCAACCTTTGTCATCCTGGGTTAAAATCTGTGTTAAATTGGAACAAATGGAAAAAAATGTATCTGGTGACATAGTTTATCCAATGTCACCTGTAGGAGAGAATAACTGGTTTAAATTTTAAAAATTTAAGTGAATGTTCATGTTTTGTATCAAAACTTAATTTTGATTCAGGCATATTTCAACAATAGTACAATTGTAGTTGAAAGTTGCGATTCTACCTTAAAATAAATAACTATAAAAAAAGTTGTTACTATAGTGTAAACTTATGTATGTTATTCCAAAAATAACTACCAGTTATAACCAAGATATGATTCAGTACTCTTTACTCTTCTTCTTCTTCCTTGTGCATATACTATATGGATTTCCTCAAACTGCTCTACTATTATTCAAGTTTGGTTTGTTACTGTCTTATTATCATTTTAATAAAATATGTTTATCTAAAATTTAAATCAAGACCAGTGTAATTTCTGTATTCTATGGTGGTTGCTGATATCCAAAAGGTAGCGTATTTGTATTGTTAAACCGGAATTTAAACCTAATAAAGATGTCAATAAACGTAATACCTGAAAATGAAATTGATGGGATGAATGATTATATAATTATAAAAGATGATATGAAAAATATTTCGCATGAACTCTTTAATAACAATATTAAATCAAGATGACTGTGTATCACTTAACGAGAGATTATAAAATGTGTCTATATAAATAGACTGTTTCACTATGATATTGATACGGAAGAAATAGTTGTATACAAAGAGGCGTATCAAAACAAAAAAAATCTTTTTCAACACTTGTTTTAGAAAAGGGTACCTTAGACATGTTAACAAAAGCGTTTTGTTCGTCGATTTAGCATTTATTTCCACATGTACAGTTTCATACTCAGGATGGTATGTATTTAAGACACGGTTAGACACTGTCAAACAGATCGGGGCTTTCATTAAAGAGAAACGAACATAATTTAGAGGAACAAAAGAATGTCGGACTCAGAGATGCCACCTAATAGACCTATCTTATTATTTCTTGTGTTTGGTTCATGTATAGCAGGACTTATTCTGCAGCTGGCTAGTGTTATAAATCTTTTTCAAGACTTATGTGATAATGTTCCAGACGGCAGGGAGTATTGTAAAAAGAACACAGACAATAGCATGAATCATATCAACAGAACTGATAATGTTACCGCAGATACACCTATAGGTAAGATTATTTTATTATTCTGTGACTTCAATTAATTACTCAACATGGAGCCTAAAGAATAAATTGATCAAATATTTACTGAAAATATGTCTTTTTGACTCCCATGACTGCAGAAACAGGTTAATGGTTACGAAAATGGAAAAAAAGTAATGTTTTTGAAAGTCAGGGTTTTAAGTTGAGAGGACTGTCGATGTCGTAATATTTTTCTCACCTTCTAAAATGATTTATAACAATCTAATTAGTGAAATAATACAATAGTCTCGCTGTTGATCAAATATGTTGTTTTTCAGTAACACTTACTGTTTCCAGGCGTGAACTGACATGACAAAAGTTGTCTTTGAATTGTTGATTATTTTACAATTGGATTACTGTTGTTGCCCAATTCTAAACCTACTTTTTTTTTCATCGAATGTATTTATACTATGTATGAACTATGTAAATGCTTATAATTTTAGGGTCATAAACTTCATTGACCCTTTTATCTTAAACGAATATCATAAATGTTAGAATTTATATTATATATTAAGCAGAATCAGACTAACGATCTAATTGTTAAGATATTCTAAAGTTTAGTGGTTTTTTTTTTTTCATATGTAAAGTGAAACTTTACTATCTATATATAAGTAACTACAAATGAAAATACAATTCAATATGTTTTAAGAAAGAAAGTTAAACATATACTAAATACTTAAATGTAGTAATTACACGTATGTGCAATAACATGTTATTAATGGTAACTTTATAGGTGTTACTTATTTCCAAGGATACCGGACGACTGCAGGGTTCGTGTTATTCACTGAATTCCTTACATTCTTCGAAGTAGGCTGTAAAGTCTACGGCTGTGTTAAATTTGCCGTCAGTATATCTCCAAAGTTTTTCTGTGTCTGGAAGTTCTTTCGTTGGTGTGGTAACTGTTGGTATGTCATGGTTATAGTAAGTGGCGGGTATATATGATAAAATATATAAGATAAATGATTAAATGATATAACTTTTATAAAGAAGAATATGACTTATAATATAATCTGTTGAGTTATAAATGAAAGTTTAAAAGGCTCATTTAGTCACAAAATATCTATTATTTATATTTCTCAGAAGCTCTATCTTCGTTTGCAATGGGTACAGTTAAAATGACCAAGTATTTTGTATTGAAGGCAAAATATGATTTGTATACAATTTGCTGCCTCTATGGCAAATTATCCCTCATTAAGCGCTGCCATCTTAGGTGACACGTATTCTGTAAAAACAACATCTCTCATTTGAATTCGGCAGTCTTTGTCATTTTCCGTAATTGTGGCAAGCCTCTGTACCCTTTCAAACTCGCAGTGAAATAGCTCGAGAAGACTCTGGTTTGGGCGTCTAATGTTTGCCTGCATCAATTGTGGCTCTCTTCCCACATCTTCCGTTCACATTTCTGTCTATCAAAAATTTTATTGAAATTTCACAGATAGAAAGTCTTGTCTATGTCTTAAAATTTTGACAAGTGCTCATAATATTAAGCCCGAGTATGACTGATTCGCCAATTGTAGACATGAATGTTCGAAAACAAAACGATTTAAGTGGTCCTAGCGACCCTTCGAACTTCCAATGATGCAAGAAGAGACGAATGATACCTCATTTTCTTTAACTTTGTTCCTCGACTAAATTTGGATGAAATCTTAAAACTTCCTTGGGCACAATTAGCAAATACAATGTATTATAGTAAATGTTTCTCAATATATATATAATTGAGTTACGATATTTCCTGAATGTCTGCGTTGCGGGACCTCATCTGAGGATCTATCTTTTTCAGTTTGTCTCAATATAAGTGGAATGGTCGCCGTGTGCTCAGTAATCCCATTCAGTGATATGATCAATTATATGGATGGTTTCAGACTTGGATTCGGGAACGTTTTGTTTGGAATTGTTAGGGTAAGCGATATAAGTATCAATAATATATTCAGTCGATGAAAAAAAAATTTAATTTGATTATAAAATAGACCTTTAAATCATTATGTGTTAAAAGCTTCTATTTTGTTTACAAATGTATTCGCATTAGGAACTCAAACATACAATTAATTGTATACCTTTTATTTTAAGACTGATACGTTACAAATATTTTGTTAGATTCTATTTTTCATCGTTTGTAATAATATTTATTTTAATCACTTGTTTAAGCGATTCCAATGAGGATTCTTTAAACGAAAGTGCTGGATTTTTTAAAGATTTGTGTACCATTTAATGTATGTCGGGATAAACATATTGGAAGGATTTCTTTTTCAAATTTTCAATAATTAAGGGATTCCATTGAGGATTTTTTATCATGTGCTTACTCCGTTTTTCCAGAATTACCATTCTATTGTGTACAGTGACCCTAAAGTAGAAGGGTTTCAACGCTTTTATTTGAAGCTGGGCTAAAAATTGCAAACGAAAAAGTTTTTAGTACATTTCTTAATTAATAATTGTAATTAGCAGTTGTTTCCAATTTAAATGCACCAGTTGAGATATATATTATAATTTAAAAATTGTTTTCATAATGTTAACAATTCACAATACATGGTCATTATTTCAGCTTGCATGTTGGACCGGATATTCAATATACAGACACAGTTGTTGCCCAGACTCTGACTATTTTCTGGGGTCAAACCAGAGGTTGTCACAGTGTGAATTAATTGTAATAGACACACGCAAGAAGTAAAAAACGATACTTACCATTCAGCATTTTATAGCACTGCACGATTGTAACATCGCTTTTCATTGGATAACAAGTAAAATGGTTTCCTGCGGGGATCATTTTTAATGATATTAAGATATTTCATTTTAACTATTTTCAACATTGTTTGGGGGGATAAATAAACGTTTTTAACAGGAATAAAGTTCACAATAATCGATCAATATAGAAGAAGGTCTTTGGATACTGGTGACCGTTGAAGACCTGAGACCAGAGAAGGTCGAATATAAAACAATTATTTCTTTTTTAGAAAAAGAAATACCAATCTGAATAATTCCGAGCAATTTCAAATATTATTTTTTGTAGATTTTCAGTAAAACAATTTATTGTTTGTAAAATTTGAGATAGATATTAAAGAAACATTGATAATTGTCAAAAACAACATTCAAGTTTTTCCACCTTAAACGGTAAAATAATTATAGAAAATTAGAAATAACACGTAATAGTTTTTTGTTGTTAATTAGGTGTAATTCGGACTATTTCCTAGAGGTAAATCCGTAACGTACCGGCAAACGGTATTTAGCTATGTTTTCAAAAAGGTCAATTAACCAATCGTGTACGGTTTACAGGTCACATGCTCCTCCATGTACCGAAAACAGGTCACGTGCTCCTCCATGCCTCAAAAGTTAAATACGTACCAATACCCCGCGGTCTTCAGACCGCAGGGAATGACGTTTATGTAATCAATATAAACAGCTGCTGTCAAGTAATGATGTTAATTTTCCCCAAATGAAATAATTTAACTTATTTATACCAGCATCATTATAGGTAGCATTATCAAAGTTCAAATGTGATATGTAACTGATCTATGTCTTGAAAACAACTCAATTTGTCATTTGTCAGTCATCACCCAACAAGTGTCTGATCAGGATCCATGCTGTTCGCTTATAAACCCTATAACAAGTAGAGAAATATACATGTATAGCGAACAGCATGGATCGCGGATGCGCAGGCTGGTCTGGATCCCTGCTGGTCGCAAACGCACTATGTTGGTTTTGTCATGACGCGGCTCATATGCTGTAAATAATCAGCACATATGTGTTTGCATTGTGAGCAAAAAGGAGAAAAAACATTTTTTTATAAAAAAAAGCAGATGTGGAGGCTGCAAGGACCCCAATGTGTCCAGGACAAATTCCAGGTCAGGGATCCAGGGGGAAACTCAACAGGATTTGCATTTTAAACTCAATTAAAACACCTTCCCAGTTGATTCTACAAGGTCTAATAAGCAACTCCATATATCGTTAAATATCATGATATTAACTTTCTTGAAACATACACATTTCTAGACATTTTCTTCTTCATATTTAACAGCATGCTTTCCTAAAAATAAAGATTTTATGGCTCTTTTTTTTTTAAAAGTAGGGCTATGGTAAAAAAATAGAGAACCGCCTCCGTGTTCGAGGGGTTGGAGTTGATTACTTCTAATCCAGTTACCTCTCTGGGGAGGGTTTGATCCCCGGGAGATGCTTTGGTAGTTTAGCACGGAGGAAGGTAGTCTAGTACTGGTGTATCTCTCCAGGAACTATGGTTACTGTTGGAAAAATGCGTAAAATGAAACACACAAACAAACAAACAAACAAAAATGTAGAGATACGTAGAGCATGGCAGCCTTAGACAATTAGACAGCCTTTCAAAAATCTACTTATTCTGATTACAGAGAATTATGTTTTAACATTTTGCAATAGTATTAATTTGAACTCATATAAAGGATAGAGCTACATTATGATGTCTGTATTCTGTAGAATAATCTTTTGTATCCTGATCGTAATCGTTCAAAGTACATTAATTCAATAAAAATTAGTGTTGGTACATTTATCTACTAAAAATAGCATCTGAATATTTCATAAGGTAATGTTCAGCATGATTCGTGTAGACTAAACAGCAGAAGTTATCCTGGTTCTAATGATTTTTAAATGAGATCCAATAATTTGATACACAAATAAATAGATACCATTAGCAATCATTCACAACATTGTGAAGAGATCTGGTGACATCTTAAATAACATCTTTACAAGTATATAAAATTGTCAAGAAGATATCTGTATTGTTAATCGTTTTAGCCTTTTGATAATTATTTACTCATAAATAATAACCAAAAATGCTTGAAGTACAAGTTTGCAACCAAAATGCATTTCATTAAGACATTTTGTGTATAGAAACATTATTAGATAAATGCATCATTTTGACAGTATTGTCAGACACATATTATTGCCTTGTTTGGTAAACTTAAATACCTACAGATTTGAATAAATGAATAACAGAAAAACGACCGGAGTAATGACTAGTCAAATTTCAAAACACCGTGCTTTTGCTGAACAATTATCCCTCGTTAAATATCCTTGATCTCAAACTAACATGTATACATGTTTATATTATAAGAAACTGGCTTCTTTACAAATTATCAGTTAACGAGGTTCATTTGCATGCTCACATAATCAGCAGCTTGTTTATATTTAAGGATTCAAGTGACTCTGGAAAAAACAAACAAGCAAACTGAGTTATCTCACTTTTTTTTCAAAAATGTAAATATGTAAGATGTACGAGCAAGTCCACAAATGAATTATGTACCGTACCTAAGAAATGATGTTCGGATCTGTCTCACAGTGTCTTGGAAGTAAGGGAAAGACAAAAAAGCATTTGCTTCATAATGTAGTAATGCAATTAAAATGTAAGAGAGGTAACTCTTCAGCGTATAATGACAATATTTCTAGTACGGACTGGTTGTCTCCCTTAAAACATGTCTATTGGTCGATAGATGCACGACTTTAAAACAGAATAGGTTGAATTTTACACATACTTTTGAACTAGTACTTTTTAAAAATTGACTTCTAAACTTTTTTTCTTCCTTACTTTTAATACATGTACTTCAGATCTAAACTTTAACCATTTCTTACATTACAAGTGTTTGAGTAGAGAAAAAGGTGAATTATTCACTTTTCAAAGTTCAAGTCTACACTTCTTACATAATATATGTGCAAAAAAAAATACGTACATATGTAAACATGTATACACAATGATTTCCGAGTCTGATTTTGGAAGAAAAAATAAAATACGAAGAAAATAAGCTTTTTTATGCATCAGTCAACCAAAAATAAATAATATTTATATGTATATAAAGGTTTCCGTTGTTCAAAACGTGAATTCCTGAAGTTGCAATCGTGAATTCGTCAAGTTGAAAGCGTGAGTTCATGGAGCTAAAATTGTGACTTTGTGAATTTCGTATGTTGAAAACGTAAATCAACGAAGTTAAAATTGTGACTTCTTGTAGATAAAATTTCAACTTCACAATTGCTATTTCATGAATTCAACTTCATGAATTCTTGTTTTGAACTTCGCGATTTCAACTTCACGAATTCATCTTCACGAAGTTGTAATCGTTAATACACGAACTTAAAATCGTGATTTCATGCAATGAAATCTTGAAAAAGTCATAAATGTGGAAATCTTGAATTCATGATGTTGAAATGCTTAATTCTGTGTGTTAAAATCGTGACTTAATGAAATTTAAATCTTGAATTTGTGGAAAAAAACTGAGAATTCAAGAAGTTGAAATGTTAAGACCTGTCTTCTGTAAAAATCAGATCATATTTACTTGCTATATGAGATTGAAGTTGCGGTCAAAATGTTTAATTATTTCTCAATCATAGTACAAATAAATCAAAGTTTCTAGCAGACTAGCAAAACAGTGAAAGCATTTCCGTTTTTCAGCAAGTAATTTCTTATGAGTATTCTATGGTTAAGTCTAAATAATGCCCACATTATTTTTATAACTTTTTTTTTAGTCTGATCAGGATCCATGCTGTTCGCTTACAAACTCTATTATAAGTAGAGAAACTGATAGCGAACAGCATGGATCCTGATCAGACTGCGCGGATGCGCAGGCTGGTCTGGATCCATGCTGGTCGCAAACGCATTATGTTGGTTTTGTCATGGCGCGGCTCATATGTAAACAAAGTAGTATTTTGACTTCAAAAAAAATACTAATTCGCTATAATCATACCAATTACCAAAAGAGCAAAAAAGTTAAAATGTAGTTCATTTATGTGACAAATGACTTAATATCTGGAAATTCTAAAATGATACCAAAAATAATCGTTTTTGAGAAATAAAAATGATAGCATTTCAGAGGCGTAATGGGTCTTTAAGATAAAAGTGCCAAAAAGTCAACAATGAATTGCATTGTGTTTTTACACAACTGTCCATTACTAAGACAATAGAGAACATGTAAAGAAACTCCTCAAACTGTTCATTATATGAGAGAATAAACAAATCTCGACACACAGTCCCTCGATCTGTCTATTCTCAATTATAATGGAAATCAGTGAATGGAGTTTCTCCTTAGAGGTCTCTTTTCAATATTTCATATGATTTGAGCCGTGTCATGACAAAACCAACATAGTGGGTTGGCGACCAGCATGGGTCCATTCCAGCCTGTGCATCCCCGCAGTCTGACCAGGATCCATCCTGTTCGCTATCAGTTTCTCTAGTACTTGTTATAAGGTTTGTAATTGAACAGCATGGATCCTGATCAGACTGCGCGGATGCGCAGGCTGGTCTGGATCCATGCTGGTCGCAAATCCATTATGTTGGTTTTGTCGTGACGCGGCTCATTTTTCTTATTTCAGTAGCATTTCATAGGTAAATTATTACAATAAACGTGTTAGAAATAGTTCATAATACTGCACGTTTGTTAAGTTATGTTGTCATTGGGTAATCGAGATGTTTATATAGATAAATAGATTTATAAAGTAATTGCATTTTTTATCTAATAAAGGAAATTTACAGTAGATCTATTATCAATTCGTTAAAGAGATTAAGGGGAAATGGCCTGTAAATAAATTAAATTTCTCCATCTATAGAAATTAAATAACAAACAAAATTTGATGCAGAAAAGACAAATCTAAAATCCTGACGAGTCATTTTCTTTAAATGTCTTACAAATAAATTTAAAACTTTTATGCAAAGCCATTTTACCCGAGGTACGTCAAAAATGACAAAAGAGAAAAGAAAAAAAAAACACTTCCTGATCGGGAAGGATTATGACGTTTATTTTCCTGATCAGGAAACATTGAAAGACAATCCTCTTGTTTCCTAAACAGGAAGTATTCCTGAATGAGAAACATTAATCGCTTTTGAGGTTAATGCCATTCTTAAAACTAATAGGATTAAATTGAAATGATTTTTGGAAAGTATATTAATAAGTTTAAGTCGAGCCCTATAATTATCTACTCAATAATCTGACTTTTTCCCGATGTTTGACAGTAGGTATTTTATATACATGGGCTTTATAATTATATAAAAACCGCACGTTAATCTTTCTTTTTTTAACTGTATAAAGCAATGCATATCTTTATATTTTAATATTTTCATTGTAATATTATAAACTGTCAACTTGTGCAGCTTTAGAATTGAACGACCTCAGTGTAAGATTATTGTATTGAACTACATATGCATCACCATCAGTGAATTCTTGATTAAATTAATATATCTGTATAGTTTGATTTTATTGACCTGTCAAACATGAATACATTACAGCACTCATTTAAATATCCGATCCAACTTCGGTTCTGCCGGTGAAATTTACGAGAAATAATATTGAATATAGAACTTACGTTTCAAGTAAGTACGTGCGTAAAAGCACAGTTGGTTAAGTGATTGACTAACTTGAGAGAGGTATACGATTCAAATCCAATACAGTGTACTCTTTTTTTTAAGTTTCTTTATTTTGCAGTATAATTATCTTAACGGAAGTTGCCGATTTCTTGCAGACATGTATGTTCGAATGTGACACTAATTTGTCTCGTTACGTATTGTGTTCTCATAATTTTTATTGTCATTTATTCCTGACATGTTGTTGAAAAAGGATAATCCTTGCTAAAATAAGTGCATAACATATCAAAACACCAAAAATGACAACCTAAAAATAAATTTGTTTCAATAATATTGGAAATATGAATAAGAAAAAACATAGGTATACTCGGTTTCGATCTTAATTAATAACGTAGGACATGTTGTATAAATTATAAAACTGTAGTTTGCCCTATATTGCGCTATAAGGCTCATTAGTATAGTTTTGTAGACAAAATTAAATTTCAACACACCTTAATACATACATTATGTATTGTAGTCCCTAAAATAAATTCAATTCATTTATCTCAGAGTGAACCACATATGACATATTTTAACTGAAAAAGGTATTATTTTATCCTACGTTGGTGATCATATTATTATGTACCACTAAAAGACTAATCCATACATTTAAGAGTTATCGTAAAGAAAGCATTAAAGTGTGCGACAAGATATAGAGCGGTAGGTTGAGACAGACGGATAGACAAACTTGGTAATATTCCTTCATAAATTTAGGTTACGGAGACAAAAGTGATTGAAAAAATGCAGACTGTTTAACTATTACACAGTTTGTTAATATTATTAAATAGAGGTAACAATTAAATTAAGAGACCATTAACAACGTTGTCAAATGAGGCGTCCGTTGTGTAAGTGTAACATTGAAATAGAAAATGTGCACACTCTGCAAAGCGGCCCTCTGTTACGTAATTACCTTTCATACAACAACAGTATAATTTCTTCCAACAGTAACAATTCACAATGAATTTGATCTCTCTAGAGTAACAATCAAAATATGTGTCTCGGAAAGAGTGTCGCTTTGCACGGGTTGTTGCCGAGATGTGTAACTTTAGAGAAAAGCAATTTTAGCCGCGTCACGACAAAACCAACGTAATGCGTTTGCGACCAGTATGGATCCAGACCAGCCTGCGCATCCGAGCAGTCTGTTCAGGATCCATGCTGTTTGCTATCAGTTTCTCTACTTGAAAAAGGGTTGGTAAGCGAACAGCATGGATCCTGATCAGACTGCGCGGATGCGCAGGCTGGTCTGGATCCATGCTGGTCGCAAACGCATTATGTTGGTTTTTTCGTGACGCGACTCATATGTGTCTCGGAAAGAGTGTCGCTATGCAAGGGTTGTTTATGTATTGCTAGTTAGATTTGAACTCGTAAGATCGGGAGAGGAAAAAGTTACAGTGATTGACAAGAGAATAGTTCGCGAGTTTGGAGAAAGAAAATGTTAAAAACCGAAATAGAACTTTCTCTTATATCTCTCTCACTGATTTGACAAATAGGAAAACATATACATTTGAATACAGTTGAATTGTATCGGACGTATCCGCGACGGCCCGCGAGCGTACGTTACAGAACCACCTGACACAATAACAAAGTAGACGAAAAACACGATGTAAACAGACGACATTGAACACTTGCACGGAGTATAATTAAAATTTTCCTGTGACTTACAAACAGATATTTTTTCTAACTTTTTATGTATATATAAATAAAAAATGTGAAATTTTAAGTAAAATTAGTATATATACTTTGGTAAATTTAGTTTCATTGAATAAAAACACAAATATTTTCACATTTCGATATAGGATCAGTCATTCGGTTTTAGCCATATTTTATAAACTAAATGTTGAGAGACATTAATTACATACTTCTCGTTTCCTCTCAATATATGAGCCGCGTCACGACAAAACCAACATAATGGTTTTGCGACCAGCATGGATCCAGACCAGCCTGCGCATCCGCTCAGTCTGATCAGGATCCATGCTGTTCGCTTACCAACCCTATTACAAGTAGAGAAACTGATAGCGAACAGCATGGATCTTGATCAGACTGCGCAGATGCGCAGGCTGGTCTGGATCCATGCTGGTCGCAAACCCATTATGTTGGTTTAGTCGTGACGCGGCTCATATGCACTTTCTCCCTTGTGATCTTGTCTACTTAATTTCACAAACCTGGATATATTTTTTATATTTTCTTCAGTATATAAATATTTTCCCTTATTTTTTTTATTTAATTTTTTAGGCAAAATATATTCTCAGTTGCAAAAAGTGTGATTCTGTAAACTTACTCGAGCAAAAAAAAGTCTGTAAACTTACAAACTTACTCGAGCAAAAAAGGCAAACTAGTGGCAACTTTGATATCAAACTTTGCAGAAATGTATGTTAAGTGTGAACAGTAAATAAAAGTTGCAGAATTGTGATTAATCAACGTTTGCTTTTCCTCGAAAAACAATGCACGGGGGATTGGGCACATGAGGTCTTCCTTCGCCAGTGAAGTTGAAATATCTTCATATGACCTCGAATGTGTGGAATGTCTTCATATGACCTCGAATGTGTTGTTGCAATGTTAAAAATCATATAGACATTTAAATTGGCACATAGAAATAATGGCAAATATCTCGAACATACAACGATGAAACAAAAGTAAAAAAGGAAGGCCATGAAGAGCAAAGAATCAACAACATTAAAACCGAAAAATCAATTAAATGCTAAGGAACAATGAATTAAAATGCAATGCAAAAATGACATTTTGATCCAGAAATTACATACTATTCGTTGTGTTCATTATAATGTATTAGAAACTTATCCTGTTTTACTTTAATCCAGTGCGAAATATCGATATTTCTGTGGTTTAGAGGCTTGAAATAAATAAGTTGAATTGTGAACACTGTCAATATCTAGCGAAAAGTTTGTATGTAAAATCTATTTCAAAATACTTATTCAAAGTCATTTTTTATCAAAACATATGTTAAATTATTTTCCTAATGCTGTTGTTTTTTTTCTTTTTGTTATATTAAACGTTCTAACTTTTATAGACTAAAGTACAAAGATGTGTTTTCCTGAAAGAAACGCGAACTGTACAATGCCTTGTATGTAATACATTTTAGAAATTTTACTTTGGCTTCCAAGCTTGTTGTTTTAGAACGAAACATTTAAATCTAGATTGCTTTGTTCTGGTTGACTTGCTGAAAGAAATATCAATTTACAAACATTATTCTCTCAAAACAAGATGCAGTTCAATTATTTCAACTGCAAAACAAACAACAAAGAGAAATTCATCATAATGAAGATTTAAGGTTTAATATATAACCATTCATATGGAAAAGTGAAACGTAGGCGATACTTAAAACACGTGATTGAGAACTTCCGCATTTCGGTTACGGAGTCATTTGATATATACATAACAATAAATACAATTCAAAACAATCACTCCCATAATGAATCGATACTCGTTCATGGTTGAAAAATGTAAAAGAAATTATTGAAGGACCAATTAACCATCAGAATTAACTGGGTACAAGAAAAGTAAACAGTATCGAGTATCCACAACGTATGAAAAGCTGTAGATATAAATAAAGATAATAAGTATATATTAATAACCAAAATCAAGTTCATGTAGTATATAAAATTGCGTTAAATTATATAGACTTTTTTTGTTAAAATTTTGAAAATGGTTCAGAAGAATACTTTGATAACGACTGAAAAAGTTGATACAAGTTCTTCCGATATTAAGAAGAGAACATGGCTGAAGGCTTTTGTCTTTTTGTCATGCTTTACAGGATTTCTTTTACAACTGATCGCTTTCGGAAATATATGGATAGATTTGTGCGACACTGAACTAGAAAATCGATCATATTGCGAGGGGAGGAATGATTCATCTAACAATTACACCATTCAAGAAGCAGAGGGTAAAATTTGATTTCCACAATTTGTACTATACTGCTCAAAGGCAGACATGTTGACATTGTTGAAAACAGGCTAAATTATGATGCTGACATAGTTGAGTACAATGGATGAGTTCACAGATGTCTGTAAAGCCGAGTCTCATATATATATATATTATATAATATATATATATATATATATATATATATATATATATAATATATATATATATATATATATATGAGCTGAGTCACGACAAAACCAACATAGTAATGTTTGCGATCCAGACCAGCCTGCACATCCGCGCAATCTGATCAGGATCCATGCTGTTCGCTTACCAACCCTATTACAAGTAGAGAAACTGATAGCGAACAGCATGGATCCTGATCAGACTGCGCGGATGCGCAGGCTGGTCTGGATCCATGCTGGTCGCAAATGCACTAAGTTGGTTTTGTCATGACGCGGCTCATATATAGGTTTAACGGCTTGTTATCAACAATGTACTGTTTAATGACCTCTTTAATTGACATCCGCACTTTTTTTGACATTTAAAAGAACTAACCACGGCACGGATTTATATAATGTTGGATGAAAATTGATAAGTCAAACTTTTCATATAATCTATTCTTCGTGTATTTGGGAGATGCATGGACGAAGATTTTTAAAAACAACATAAAATATTTAGGTTATTGTTTTTATATTATTTATTCTTATCTGACTATTTTTCGTGTTCAGTAGTAAGAAGATCCATAGATTACGATATTAGGTTAACAAATAAATAAATGCTTGACAATAAAAAAAAATCCATCACAATTAACTCGCTGAAGTTTGACTCGTCATGAAAAAGAAAAGAAAAGAAAAGTTACTTACAATTCTGAACACGAAATAAAGTAGGATGTCGGTATTCTAATTATATGACGAAACCAAAGTTCTAAATTCGAGGTAGTTGTAACAAAGATCTTTTGCATACTTAACCTTATTTACAACACAAAAACTATTTGAAAATGTCAGAAATCTGAAACAAATGTTTCTTAAATCGTCAGTATTCAAACGTAAGACCGGTACAAAGTCAGTAGAATTTCAAAATTGTTGCAAAGCGAGTTCGACATGTGGATTGTGTGAAAGAATTGTGTCCTAGTAACTCTTTCATACCCGTTTTTATAGAAGTGAAACACTGCAGTTCTAATATATCCGCTTATTTTATGTTATCCTATTCCAAGGAAAATGAACGAGAAATCATTATATTGATATATTATATAGGTGTTTGGAAGTACAGAGAATTTAGGACTTTTCTTATTGTGGTCCTTGTCATTCATCTGTTTACTTTCACCACGGCGAGCTGCAAAATCAAGTGTTGCGTTGAACACATATGTGTGCCTTGCTGGGCCAATGTATGGGAGCACTGTGTATGCTGCGGCAACGGCTGGTTCATCATGGCTGGAATAGGAAGTGAGTGGGAATTATAATTTATCAAGTGCATTTATTGCGCACCCTTTCATGTGTTTAATTTAGGAAAATGTCCGACAAACGATTAATTAATGATACGTGTACCTATTTTCAGAGGTCGAGTGGTTAAGGCACTTGACTTCACACCGCCGTGGAGGGACGTGTGATTCTGTTATGTGAGGAAGATATCCAGTTTGTTTACGAACTGAGAACGATAAATCTACTTAATTATGTGCAAATAATGCACGGAGGTTAATCTTAAGTCCTCCTTTACCAGTAAAAGCTGGAAAGCCGGAATATGGCCTCTACACTGTTGATGCCGATATTTATCTCAACCAAAGAAAAATTAAGAAAAAATAATATAATCAAGATTGACATCCTTAAAATGAAAATTTCAAGTGCATGGTTACACATATTAAAACACATAAGTCTTATTGCGACCGCAATTTCTAAATTCCTACCAATTTATTTATTTTTCTATTTATTTCTTTTCAATTAATTATTATTGCTTACTTCTTTTTATTTCAGCCTGTCTCAATATGATCAGCATTATCTATGTTAGCGTTACAATTCCATTTGCTGATATGATCCAATATATCATTGGATTCAGATTTGTATTTGCAAATATGTGGTTTGGTTTTGTACAGGTGAGCAAGAATGTCTGAAATTTCATATCTAAATCTGCATTATTTTAGTATCGTTTTCGTTAAGAAGTCTCAATTTTCATTCTATGTGTTGAGGATTAAAATTTCGTTATAAGTGGTGCTAGTTTTGGTTAAAGAGATACCATGAAAAGCGTCAATAAATCTTTAGCGCAAAGAAAAACAATCGACCATAATGAATAATTTTGACCCAATGAAATAATTAAATGTGGACATTAATCGCTAGTGTTTTTTTTAAACCCTTTACCTGCGGAATTTATTAAATTGACTTTTCCAATTTCCATTTTGAACAGTCCATTATCAAGTTTAGGTATATCAAGGTGCGAATTCAGAAGTTGGCAAGCCAACAGTATAGAATCTGGTCAGACTGCACAGATGTGCAGGCTTTCCTGGCTCTTTACTGGTGGCAAAGACTAATCACTTCAGCCTTCAGTAGCGTAAAGGTTAAAAGAGTGACACCTCACATAATATCTTGACCCTTTTACGAAATATGATTATTCCTATAACTTCAGTGAATCGTATATGGTTGATTTTTGTGATAACTTACATTACAGTTTTATTTTATTTAGAATATTATTTTACAAGAATTTACATGAATAACATAGTCATTGATTTTGTAGCTTGCGTTATGGTGCGCCTATTTGATACACAGAAGAAGTTGTTGTCCAGATGCGGCATATTTTCTTGGTTCTAACAGAAGGTTATCAGAATGTGAGATAGAAATGGTGAAAGTTATCACAGAAAAGACAGTAAACGAACAAGGAACGGTGATAAAAGAACGGGAAGTAGGGCGGGTACACCTCGGGACAAGAAAAGTGCAGCCTGCATGTATTTATATGTAATTTGCTTTATACAAAATTTCAACTTATAATATAACATGAACCAGTGTGGGTATGCAGTGATAAAATAGACATGGAATAAAATATAACATATAATAAATGATGGTGTTTTAAAGAACACAAAAAATCGAATTTCAGTGTGTTGATACAAAAAAGCTGGATGAAAAGCATGAAGGACCTCCACATTTCAAATTATCACTGTTCCGTTTGAATCCAATTTGCTAGGTACTTTTTCAATACATGTAACATGGTTTCCAGGACAGAAAAAAATCTTCTTTTGACTTACATTTTAATTTGAATGTTACAATTCATGCTACTAATGTTTTGCTGTTTGATTCTGTATAATAAACAGTTATTTTCCATTTTCTTATTTTTGTCTTATTTGTTCCATAAACTTGACATGTAAGACATTTACCAGTAACATTTCAAGTTTGTTATTTATGCGTAGCTGTCTTATTAATGGCCGAGTTATAAACACCTCGGACAAGTAATCTAAGGAATGCGCTGCGTGAGTTCAAACCCTGCCATTGTTTACTTGTGCAAGACTCTTTACATTCATTGCTTAGTACTGGTTTGTTTCAGGAATGTATTCGACAGTGTTTCAACTAGCTTATAGCTTCCAACACAATCGAACGAAATAAATTTGTATAAACTTATCTGAATATGAACCATTTCAAACAATAAAATATGGTTTGGTCTAAAAGGAGATCGGGTCCACATTTAGTTCATTAACACTCTAGTGGTCAGTTTCAATTGTCACGAAACTTGGTCCAGTAATCACTCGGACAAGTTTGAATACGGTTATCTTGAGTTAAAAACTAGGCCACACAACCCAAATATGGAAAAACCTTGTTAACACTCTTGATTTAACATTTTCAACACAAAAGTCATGGAAATTTGTAATAAAGTTTCCTTTTAAAAGGAAAGGCTTGCCCAGTTGTGCCATCATCCCATCCCTTTAAAAATGATTTTATTTTTGAAAAAAATTCCTAAATCAACTTTTTATGATAAAGAAATAATTATATAAAAAAATAATAAATTGACCTTATATACCAGTAAAAACAAGGTACCTATTTATTATCACTATTTTTTAATTATTTGTATATCCTAAAGGGTTTATTTAGGATTTTGTTTTCGAAAAAAAAAATGTTTCACTTTTAAAGGGGTAGGTAGGGTAACCCCAAGACTGGACGAGCACCTGTGCCCATTTGTGCCACAAGTGGCATGCAAATTTGGACAAAAGAAGGACCAGAAGTCCACTGATTATAACTGAACCGGAACATGCTGACGATAACAGTAACAACTTTTTGTAAATACGAATATTGTTTTGTCAAAACGATTTGAAATATATTCATTATTGTATAAAACTAATAAAGAAAATAATCAATCGTAAAAATACTAGGTCGAGGAAATAAAAATATCTATCTATCATACTGAAGGGAAACAAGTGTGCACATTTCAGTTTTCACTTTTTTTCTCTCAGAAAGAGTCATTCGTTTTGGCAGTTGCTAATTACATTTAAATAGCAGCTTTATAGACAAGTAAATGCACTAAAAGGTACCAGTTAATATGCATGTATCAACTATGTTACACCTAAAATATCTATGTCACAGATATACCGACAACACAGGATGCGCTATCTGTAGATCAGCACGTGGTAAGGTTAATGATATACATGGGCTATTTTTAGAAAGACAAAAATCAATCATAAAAGAAACTAACTTTTGCGTCTTGAAAACGAATTGAAACGGAATATTTTCGTTTATAATTTATTTTTTATTTTTTTTAATGCGTTTATTTAAGGTCGCCGCCGGAAAGCCCATATGGGAGACCGTACACTCAAGTCGGGTCATCCTAGAACGTCCCGCCGAGATTTTTTTTTTCGTCGATTTTTTTCCAGCTTTATTGGTGGAGGAAGACCCCAGGTGCCCCTTCGGGCATTATTTCAGGCACGAGCGGGCACCTGGATAGAGCCACCGACCTTCAGTAAGCCAGCTGGATGGCTTCCTCACATGAAAGATTTCGACCCTAGTGTGGATCGAACCTACAGCGGTGAGGGACCTGTGATCTCAAGTCAGCGACCTTAACCACTCGGCCACACATAAAATAGTACAAAACCTTTTTAAGGCAACAATTTAATAACACGTTTTATAATTTATTATGTTTTCTTTCTTTTCGTATGATACTAAGAAAATGTTGCGCCAATTCGTAAGAAGCGTAATGACGCCATCCTATGTATGGAACGCATTCATAAAGACGTCAGAATCACATGTGCCTGACGTCAAACAAACTGATCCCTACCCTACGCCTGTATATATATTTATAATATTGGTAACTATATAAATTTCATCTGGGTAGCTACATATTACCAGAACAGAACATGTACAAAGCATATAAATTAATAATAATCATTTTAACAGAATATGACGTACGTGAGTGAAACACAGACATAAATTAATATTTTCATTATTCTACGTTCTTATGGTGTTATTATGACCTTCCATAAAGTAATAATAATTATATTGTGACAAAGTCTTTTACATTAATTTTTGCACTGTTCGTTATCAATGTAAAAAGACTCTACATAATCTTGCAATTTATTGTATTAAATGCTTTAGACAGAGAACTGACCAATTAAATAACTTATAAATCTTTTTTGTTATTATTATAACAACGTCATAATATTCCTATGAAAGATATATGTACTCTAATAACATGCTTACTCAGATCACTCTAAACTGTTGAATTTAGACAAATATTTGTTGTAAAGTTTATTTATAATTATAT